TTAAACTTTTTTTTTCGGACTTAAAAATATAAAAATAGGAGTCTTCCTTTAGCCTTAAGAGATTATGGTTTAGAATTTCTCTGCAAAAGCTGAAAAGTTTCTCAAGATATCGCAAAGAGACAAAGTAAAAATAGACGGATTTTATTTATAAAGTTAAAGACCTTGACCTTTTGACCTCAAAATCAATAGGTGTCTTCCTTAGGGCTAAGGGAGTTGCTGTGTAAAATTTCATTGTAAAAGCTCAAAAGCTTATTTTTTTTTATTTGGAGATGTCCCATGTAAATGAAAGTGTTTCAGACAGAAATGCAGAATTGAAATAAATATCCCCTAATTTGTGAGAGCGGGAGACAAAAAATCAAGATTGCTTTAAATTGGTGTCTGTTTTACATACAGTCAAACCTCGGTATCTTGAACTTTTTTTTTCAAATTGGGACCGAGAAACTACTTGGAGATATCCATGGATTCGAGATACTGTAAACGTATTACATTTAGCGGTGTATTCCATTTAGCGATTTGGGCGGAAAGCAGAGTCCGCTAATTCAAGTACATTGCTAAATATACATTTATAACTTGCACATTCAGATAGCGCTAAATCAAATCTACGCCAACTTGTTGAAAATTGAATTTCCATCAAATATCGTACACGCCAAATGTAATACATTTACAGTATTCAGAGTAAAATACTTTAAGAGGTTGGGACTTCCAGACACTTCAACATATCAAATGGTCTTTCAAGATATCAGTGTCTGAGATACTGAAGTTCAGCTGTATATATATTTTTACTCAGAGTCTGTGTTTCTTGTCAGATGGGAAGCACTTGTTTCATTTTCTTGACAATATCACCACCAGATATATATATATACAGAAGGAAGTAAATCATCATGCCAAAAATTTCACTTGTCATCAGGAACAAGAAGATTTTGACATCCACTTGTCCCCCGTTAATTTTCACTTCTGAAAGACTGGGGAAAGTGTTTTTTCAATTTTTTTGCACCCATGATGGAATTTTCTAATGATTTACTACTGTAGGAATTTAGGCTGGACTGAGGACATCGGCCTGGATAGCTCAGTGGTAAGAGCACCTGACTAGTAATGCAGGGGTCCCGGGTTCGATTCCCGGTCTAGCCATATGCTTTCATTATATATGTATTTATGAATTTTCAATGTAACTACTATGTTTACTTATTCCTCCTTTCCATACTACAGATCCATTAAACACATTCAATTCTCATTCACTTTAACAATGCATGAAACATTTTACATTTTGAAATTAAATCCGTCATGTGATCTTTCTGTTGTGAGGGATTAGATGACGAAATGGGATTCAAAAAACATCAAAACACTCAGAAATCATAATTATCATACAGAAATATTCAATTCAATTTGTACTGATAAAAAAGTTATAAATACTGTACTTCTTCAAACGTGATGTATATTTATCAACAAAATCTATTGTTAACGCTTTATTCAGACAGATAAACTTAGATTCAATCGTAAACTATAGTTAACAACTGTTAAATATAGCCTCATGCTGCATGAAGTTTACGGGTAAACTATAGTTTACAGTCGATAAACCTAGTTTATCAATTGTGCAACTAGGTTTCTCATTTTTGTGAATTTGGCGTGCCATATCAATCTATAAATGAATAGGTAACTGTGTTCATCCCAATAACTGAAATGAATTTCATAATGTAGATTACGTTCAGTAATTAATTTGTATGTTAGGAACTCCTATGGTCACGACCTTAACATATTATCTTATTAAAATCTACATGATTTTTTTTATTTCCATATTTTATAACAGTATTTTATTAACCAAAGATAACATCTAAATAGGTCGAAAATACGATAATAATATCGCAGCATGTTATCTCGGATAACCACATATGTACCCCTGGAATTGACAGAATCTGAGGTAGAACTTTTTCGGCATAGTATTGTTCAATGATTATAAAGTAAACAAACTACTTATTCCACTTTGAAATACTTTGCACTAACTTACAGCCAGTTACACATCACTCGTACAACTCGACTGTTGACAAACTCCACCCAAAGTTTTTGGCGCCACAGATTTTGGAATAAATGAAATACCGATCCCGATTTGGGGAATATTTCTTGATTCCCACATATTTCCTCTGAACATTGGCGATTATTAACGGTTGTATTTAAATTCAATTTAATTTAATATATGCAAAAGCAGTGTTTCTTGCATTGATTTGGTTTTGGTTTTTAGCTTTTTCCCTCTGACGAACAACTGGAGTAAAATACTCAAAAAAATATAGATACAATGTACATGTTTATGGAAGCTAATTTTACTGACACTTTTCTATGAATTAAAAACTTAAAGTGATTCATTGATATGAATTTTATGGTTTACATTTCATATAAAATTTGACAAATCTTGACTCGAAAACACTCGTTTTTTCATTTTCAAAATTAAATGTTAACTTTCAAATAATTTTTAGCCAAAAGTATTGCCAATATGAAAAATCTTTGATATAAGGGGAAAATCCTACTCTGGGAAAAACCGGGGGAAATTGGCTTTATTGTGAGATTTCCCCTAAGTAATTCCTGCTAAATGGGATTTCCTGGAGCAAAGCTGGTTATAAAGGAATTCCTACTCTGCAACACCAGTAGTAATACATTTATCGTGAACAAAATACATTTTCCTGACATTCTTTTTCTTTATTGTTCAAAACACTTCTTACTTTCAAGTTTTATTCTAAGATTTTTTGAAAATAAAGTAATAAAGAGTGATCCATTCTGGCTGAGGCTGAGGAGCGAATATCCATAACTATATGGAATCTTAAAAAGTAATCTTTTGGAATGTAGATCCGACGCAATCAGGAAAAGAAACCGACCGGCAATATTTGCTGATTTTGTTGACTACTGACTGAATTACAATACCTTCGACAGAGATGAGATTTCAATAAAAGGTGGATATTATACGGACCTCCCGAAAATAATTTTTTTAGATTGAATAGGAAGTGGAAATATTTAGGAGCTGGAAACGTCTCTGATAAGAGAGATAACTTTCCAAGTAAAAAAATGTACTGATATAATAATTACATACTCATATAGTTTATCATTTGAAATCCGAACAAACTTAAGTCCATTTTTGAAACCCTGTAACATTGACTAAACTCTATCTTTTTGGATACCATTTTAATATTATATGCATACATGTGTATATCAAGTACAAAATGTACAATTTTTATAAGTATTTAATTTTTAAAAATTAAAATTAAAGGATGGGGGTAGAGAACGGATGCTTTGCAAGAAATCAACAAAGCTCAGCTTATGGAAATCTCAAAACAAATCAAAAATAAGAATATTTACCGCTTTTGCTGTCTGTAAATTGAATTAACGCAATAGTCTTGTCAGAATTGAGATTTCAATAAAATCTGCATGATAATAAAAAGAACAAATTTAAGAAGATAATATTGAAAAGGAGAAAATTGAGGACTATGAAATAAAGTGCATATTTTATAAATGCTCGCCTTGAATTCACATTTGATCTCCAGAGCAGGTGTTGAGGTTGTCGCCCTTTGCATGGTCTTTTAAAAAAGGTTCTTCGACACAGATTTGAAGTTAATATTTTCTCCAATTTTCTGCATACTTTCATGACTTATATATATATACATGTATATATATATGCATTTCATTGGGGGGCACTTATTATTAAAATATAATTTAAAAAAATATATTTTATCTCTAAGTTATTGAAACATCGAATTTCTGGACGTATTTGATTGACACATCCTTGCATTTCCACAAATTTTAAATTTTGTTTATTCTTAATACTTAAGAAAAATGGCAATTTTTTTATGTATTAATGAAAAATATTACCACTATACATGTAATCCAGAAAATTCAGAGTAGAAATGTTCGAAAGCAAAACCGACGCAAAGTATTGCCAGTCCGTGCTCAGTGGTGTGTGCAGAGTTCAACTGTACACAACACTGAGCATGGGCTGACGATACTAGTGAGTGGGTTTTGCTTTCGGACATTTCTACTCTGAATTTTCTGGATTATAGTTGTACATTTTTCATTGATACACAACAAAATTGCTACTTTTCTAAAATTTAATATTAAGGATAAAATAAAAAAAAAAAAAGACAAAGAGTGTGTTAATCAAATGGGTCCGGAATTCGTAGTTCTAATAATTTCCAAATAAAATACGTTGTTTTTATTATTATTATTATATTCTCGTGTGAAATGTTATTGCAATATATAAGTCGTGATATCATACAGAAAACTTGAGAACTTTTCAAATCTGTGTCTAGGCACCTTTAACCGTTGCAGTTTTCATGCCCCGTAATTGAAGTTTATAGTTTTTGGTCTATCCATTCGTCTGTTTGTTAATTTGTCAAGAACTTTAACCTTCCCAATAACTTTTGAATGATTGTTGCTGGGGCATTCATATTCCACTCGTGTTTTCCTGATGAAAACCGACAAGACTTTCTTTAGATACCAACATATCTAAGCTCTTGACCTTGTATTTTAAAATACTTTTGCAAATTTTTCCCAAGGTTTAACCTTGGCCGTTCCTTTGGACAAGGACTCCGTATATTTCATAGAAGAGACCTTCTAGGATTCTGATGTTTGCTACTGAACAGTTGGTGATGTATAGGATATTTTTAAGTTTCGTATTTCTTGTGATGACCTTTCATTTGGTACGGATACTTATGACCTCATATATATCATGTTGACCTTAAAATATGAATTACTATTGAAATCATCATATTTTCAGAATGGATGGTGTCAGGGCTTTCTTTCACGTGTATATTCCTTGAGAAAAGACCTTTATTCTGGACACCAAGATTTTACGAAACTCTTAGCCTTGGGGTTTGACCTACCTTGAAAGTCTTTAATCTTGGTTTTGAGCCGCCTTACAGTGCACCACCGTTTCAAAAAGTGAAAAATTTAACTTAGAAAAAGGGGATCAAACTGGGAATGATTTTTTTAAACTATTTCCTTTATCCATAAAAATAGAAAACTTCAAGTTGTAAAAGAATTTAATATAACAAAAACAAATTTCATACATGTAATTTGAACAGGTTTTAAATATAGATTGATTGACTAATGCTTTCAGCTGACTAGACTAAGCTCGTATAGGCTTATTGTGTACCATCCTCGATAATCTAGACATCCTCTTTATGTTGTTCTGCTGGCAGTAAGGTAGTTCTAGATTTATTATAGACTGATGTCCATTTTTTCTAATACTTTGTCCATTATAAAAATGTCTTTGGTTACTAGCTAATTCAAAAGCTGACTTAGGACGAGTATATGGAACTTCCACTCGTTCTAGTCGCCGAGATATAGAGTTCAGTTCTATATTTTTGCCATTGTTAATTTTATTGTTTCTTGCAGATTTCACCCTCGCGAGCGGCCACACAGATTTATATCCCGAATGTTTCAATGACATTTCTGGATTTTCAGGGTAACCCATATCCTCCATATGAAGAGACTGGGATAGATCTACAATGTTCATGAGTCCGTTGTTGTTTTCGTCCACTTCCGGTGTTTTCATGGATTGTCTCATTCTAGAACTTAATACAGGTGCGGTTCTAGGTCTTCTAGTTAAACTCCTGCTGTAGCTAGAGAAATTTTCCTTTTGGTCGGTAGTCATCAGGAGTTTCATGTTTATATGAGAACACACTTGGCCATTTGCGTTTGTTTTTATTGGAGGTTGACGCGATGTTTCATTGGCTTCTCGAATTGCGTTCATGTCTATCGTTGGTTCTGTATTTTGCCGTTTTAGAATGCCCTGTTCCAGTCTTTTAATCGTCTGTATTTTACTTGCTGACTTACAACGTTGTAGTTGTCTTACTGGGAAACCATTATTGTACTTTACGAATAGCGGTGCCGTTTCATACATACTATACTGCGTCACAGACACATCATTTTGCAAATCGTCGTCAGTTCCAATTTCACAATAACCATGACGCGAATCAAAGTTCTGAGTATAGTAGATTTGTCTGTCGCTCATGCTGCCTGTAAACCTGTTATTTTTGATTGGCTCTTCGTCATCAGAAAGAGCCATGCTATCCAATTCTTCAGACAAATTCAAATCACTGATGTCTGCAGAACTATGAATGGCTCTTTCATGAATACTACCGAGTCGGCTCCGAGCAGACGACAATCGACTTTTTCCTGACTGCAGACGACTCCTAGCTGATGACGTCCTTCCAGACGGTAAATCATCCGTGAACTCTCCGAACTCGTGTTCCGACTCATCGTCAATGATTGTCACGTCCTCCGGTATACTGCGGACACTTGGTGTTCCTGACACGGGGCGAGACGAGGCAGGTCGCTTTCCAGAATCTACATCTTTTTCACCTTCGTTTTCTGTTATGGATTCTAGGTGCTTCACAGTAACTGAAATAACCCCAGAACCTGGTCTGTTTGAATCATTATTTGAGTTCGCTTCAACTTCGCCTCGGAGCTCAGCGGCCCGTCTTTCTCTTGCCTCTTTCCTCCTCTTGGCATCTTCTTCCAGTCGTCGCGCTATTTCCTCCTCCTTTTTCCTCTTTTCTTCTGCTTTTCTTTTTTCTTCTTCTTCACGTTTCCTTTCTTCTTCCTTCTTTCTTTCCTCCTCCTTTTTCCTCTCTTCTTCTTTCTTCCTCTCCTCTTCTTTCCTTTGCTCCTCTTTCTTCTTGTCCTCGCCAACTTTGAGTATTGTCGTGTATCCCATTAACATGCTTTTCATCCTCCTGTCTCTCCTGGCTTTTTCTTCCGGAGTTAGTGCGGACTTTTTAGGTTCCTCTTTATTCTCTTCTTCTTTCTTTTCCTCCTGATTTTCTTCCTCTCCTTCTTTCTTTTCCTCCTGATTTTCTTCCTCTCCTTCTTTCTTTTCCTCCGTCGTTTCCTCTTTCTTTGGTTCCTCTCGCACCGGTTCTTCGATTGGTTCACCAGTGTCTCCGAGTAGAAATATTCTAAAATCTGTTTATGAAAGTAAGAATTCTTAATAAGAATGTGTTTTAATTCAACATTGTATTTTTCAATACTGAGCTGAAAATTTAATACACAATGAAGCGCATTGAAGTGGTAAAATTTTCCATTTGGACGAAACGTTCTGAGTCATGTTTCAAACGTCAATTATAACATAACGACACGCCCATTTCTTAGCAACGAGAAAGGAATATTCGTCGTAATGTTTTAAATAAATAAAACGAGGACACTACACTTTCCGCCAAAAAACAACACGAGTTATACTGTTTTTCAAAATGAAAGAGTTGTGTATATATGGAGTTAAAATTTACACGCATTGCACACGAATTTGTACATAATTATGATTTTATCATGTTTATTGGATGTGTTTCGGTAATGAAGACCGTCAATTTCATTGGCTATTATATTTACGAGAATACCTGTTTTACAGGTATTCGATTGAAACATTTGAACAGATTATTTTCCTCTCTAAAGAAATGGGCGTAGCATAAAAATAGCTCAAAAGTTTAATAGAAAATACCACTTCAATGCGCTTCATTGTAATTCAGTTGCATTACAAGTCGATACTAAGACGGCAGTTTACTTTATTTTACATACAGAATTTACGTATAGAATCTGGACATACCCCTATAATTGATTTGCCCGTCGTTGTCTAGATCTGCCGTCTTTATGAGTTCGCCGATCTCCTCGTCCGTTAACATTTCCCCCAGCCCCATCATCAGGTCGTAGATGTCAGTCGTGGTGATGACGCCATCAGCGTCCTTGTCAATCAGACTGAAGGCGGATTTTAGATCCTCCTCAAAATCCTCCCCCGTCACCTGCCGTCTCTGCTCGATCACCTTATCGTCCCACTCCAACTCATTGATGTTTCCGTAGGCTGAAAGGCAGAATAGAGAGGTCTTACATTAGTATGACATGCTGAAAAACAAAAAACAAAATATATACTAGTAACTTTGATAGGTTTCTGTAATAAAAGGTTCAAATTATCAATCGCTTTTATTTTATTTTTTATTTAGATCACACTCGCCTTTATGTCTTAAGTCACAATATACATGTAGATTACATTCTAAGTACTTGTATATAACCGCTGAAGATAGAAAAAATTCAAGCATCTTTAATTTGATAGTTTAATGTTGGCCTACAGATTATTGGGGCAAATCATTCGATTTTGCACCTGTTGAATATTATACATTTATAATGAATTTAAATGAATCACTCCGTCTATTTTACATTATAACGAAGTGATCTGCATGATCTTGTTACAGCTGTTAAATAACTCTCTGTATCGATGTCACGAATCTCTCGGGACTGGGGGTACCTATCAATGAATTTAACGATATTTTAGCGAAAACTTTTTATAAAATGTATTACCCATATGTGCCTTGTATAATCGTTCTTGCATAGTATAAAATCTACATTACCCCCACTTTGCTGGAAACACGATATAAATAGTTTTAGTTTTATTCGTAAAAAAAATTCATATTGCATCAATTAATACCAAAAAATTTAAAATCTTAAATTAAATCGTCAAATTTACGAAATAAAGAGATATTTAAAATGCCATTGCGGGGGACGTCTACGTCTAAATGGTTATAAGCCTTCTTGCTGTGAATAGCTTGTAAAAGACTTTTTTCTTTTCACGTCTTTACATGTTTTGATTCTGCTATTTTGATACTTGACTTTAAAGTGATCCTTTTTTCTTTCTTTTGTCAGATAATGTCACATACAGACCTCCATGAGAGGATTTTTTAGCCGGAGAATTATGTTTCAGATCGTCAAGGATGGTTTAATAACAATGACTATTCGTGACAAATAGCATTTTTCTTAGTTTGTGTCAGAGGATGGAGCAAGTGCATGTACACTAAAATCTCTGATTAATTCATGTAAAACTTTTTATTATCTTTTAAATATATCAGACGTGATCTTCTATCTGTTCAAAATTTTGGATTTTACTGATCTAAATTCAGCAAGATTATTCATAGTATATAAAAAAGTGAAATTCTACATTGTAATAGAAGTATTATAGAAAACCCCAACTATCTAAGAGGCTGTCCTGATGCTATTTAAAGAAAAAGACAATATGTTGTCTTTGCAGGCCGACCTATTCATAGAAATAGACACTTCCTGTCTATACAGGCTGTCCTGATCATATAAAGAAATAGACACTGTCTATACAGGCAGTCCTTATCATATAAAGAAATAGACACTGTCTATACAGGCCGTCCTAATCATATAAAGAAATAGACAATGTCTATACAGGCCGTCCCAATCATATAAAGAAATAGACACTTATTGTCTATACAGGCCGTCTTAATCATATAAAGAAATAGAAACTTCCTGTCTATATAGGCCATCCTAATCATATAAAGAAATAGACACTTCCTGTCTATACGGGCCATCCTTATCATATAAATAGACATTTATTGTCAATACAGGTCGTCATAATCATATAAAGAAATAGACACTTATTGTCTATACAGGTCGTCATATTCATGTAAAGAAATAGACACTTCCTGTCTATATAGGCCATCCTAATCATATAAAGAAATAGACACTGTCTATACAGGCCGTCCTAATCATATAAAGAAATAGACACTTTCTGTCTATATAGGCCGTCCAAATCATATAAAGAAATAGATACTTATTGTCTATATAGGCCGTCTTAATCATATAAAGAAATAGACACTTCCTGTCTATATAGGCCGTCCTAATCATACGTGTATAAAGAAATAGACACTTCCTGTCTATATAGGCCGTCCTAATCATATAAAGAAATAGACACTTATTGTCTATACTGGCCGTCCTAATCATATAAAGAAATAGACACTTCCTGTTTCTAGAGGGCGTTCTATTTTTATTAATAGACTAAATGTACTTACTGTCTATACAGGCAGTCCTAATCATATCCATGATGGGTTCATCGTTTGGGTTCAGTTCCAGGGTTTTCATCAGGGGGAATATGTTATCTACATTGATGTTGATTTCTCCGTTTACGGTGACCAACTCAAACGCCGTCTTGATGGCTGTTCACAAAAAAGAAAAGAACAAAATGTACGTGTAAAATCAATAATATACATCTAATCTTCTTAGAGTCGGAAAAATGACTGGGATTTCTTATATAGAGCAAAGAAGGATAGAAGCAAAGAATCAAAAGAGAAATCGATTTTATTTTCATTAAATTTCGATGGTTTTATGTTCTGGAATGTCTTCTTTGAGTTTTCTGATTTTTCATTATTACTCTTACTGCATATGATGAAAAGAAAGAAGTTCGATTTTCTCGTGTCAGGGAACATCGAACGTGTTTTCTTGGGGCTCTTTCATTAGTCTTTTTACAACCTTTGCATAAGATTTTCTGTTATTATCCCGAATTTTATGAACAAGATCAAGATTATTAGAAGCATGGAAGGATGTTACGTTCTGCAGTTCAAGATGGACGTTTCCCTCTCATTGTAAAGAGACAACGGATTTTTTCTTTTTTTGTTTGTCTTCAAGATTTAAATGTTGGAAGTTTCAAGAGCAAAAATAATATGATATATTTATCAGCGTTTTTTTTTTAAACCAATTTTATTTCAAATTTATTAACAGTCAAATGACAAAGTATATCGTTCTTTTATAAACATATACAATATTGTCTTAAAAAGCAGCATGCATACAATCACAAAGGTTAAGTTTTATGTCAAAAAATAGCATTTTGCTTAAATTATAGTAGAGATACTGTAACATGGAATCTTGTCTAATGTGTAGAATTAACCGACAGAGAATGGAAGTCTTCTAACACCAGTCATAGTGTTAAACTATTTTACCTATCTGCACCTACATAATAAATTGACAGGGAATCTTTATCTCTATTGGTGTTACTACGTTATCAAAGACACCAAAAAACGGATCAATGTATTTGTGTTAGGGTTTTCTGACACCTTATGAGAGCTAACATGGAAATCCTTAGAGACATACCAGAGATCTAACGCGGTCAATATCAAGCAATCGTTCTCAAAAGGAAAGTCAGTTCTCTCTAGTACAAGTCAAGATTATTTTTAACAAGAGTCGATTTTAATCTCTTTGAAAAACACTGTGGAGTGTTTCAAAGTCTGTTTGTTGTAAGTTTGACATTCAGTCATCTTCTTCAATATTTCAAAAGCAAACAAACTTTGTTACATGTACGTACTTCTTTCTAATGGTTGAGTTCAGCATTGATATTTTTGAACCGTGTACTGTAAAGTCCTCAATAAGATGTTGTCTTTTACTATGAAACCCTATCATTATGCATGAACATGTAATTATAGATGATACAATAGTCCTTTAACTAGTAATAACACTAGGCTACAGTGTAAATTCAACTTCTTTGCAGGTATGATTTGTCTCGTTAAAATACAGTAAGTCCTAAAACTTTTGGCACCAATAAAAAATACAATGTTCAAATATGAAATAGTTAAAAAGAATCGCTAGGTTTTTTAGGGAAATAAAAATTAAAAGAATTCCAAGAATATAAACTGGTTCCCTACCGTCGAGGACGACCTGTCTGAAGGCTTCCTGTGGGTCCACCTCCTCCTCCACCACCGTCTGCTTGCTGACGTCATTTTCAGCCTGTGGAGAAAACCGAGATGTCATTTCGGATATTACATATTAAATTCACTTCATTGTCAACATCAGTCTTGTACACATTACGGTGCCTTTTCAAAAGTCATCCCGTCATGGAACTTCGACGCCGTGAAACCGAAGTCCCATGCTCAACATGACAAGAACCCTCTCTATTCCTGTCGGTAGTTTGGTCCAGATTTTGTGCAAAATATACCGGATGTAATATCCTTATATTCCAATACAGAATCAATAAACTTCTTTGAGAGCAATTTTCAAAACTCTCGTGACTCTAATTCTCACTTCCTTTGGGCCTTCGTTAAATACTACCCCTTTGATTTTTTCCCCTCTTCGGGAGTAATTTGTTCATACGTAATCCAAATACTAAACAGTTTTTAGGGGAATAACAAGCGCCTTCGTTAAATAATCGATGCTTGTAAAAACAGAATTTAAATTCCTCAGAGCAAATGATCTTTCATCTGAATAGGTAATCTTCTACCATACTGAAATATCAGACTGCGGTTCTTATAAAAGACCATCCCCCAATGATGCAGAGGAACCATTGGTGGACGGGAATATGTAAAAGTTTTCATCCAAAAGATGGAAAAGTTTTGTGTCAACATGCACAGAATGACATTTGAGCTTTATTTTTGACAAATTTCGTTTGTCGCTTTTTCATTAATTTAAAAGTCCAGGTGATCAAACAACAAATTGAATCCATCAACTTTACGGCAATGCCAAACTGTTAAACAGTTTCAGGGACAAATTGATTTTATTTAAATCCTTAAATTCTTTTGACTTTCTTTGTTATTTAAGTCAAATAGAGATTTTTTTTCACTCACCATTACATGTTATAAATCTACCTAAACAGAGAATACAGTTGACTGTTCCACTATAAAGGTGGAATGTCCGAACACGACGGATATCGGGTATGTTTTATGATTATAAATTAAGACTGACCACATTGTTTTATAGTCCTCATTAAATACTTTGTTCTAAAATCATAAAACTGGAATCAACAAACTCCATTGACCTCGCTCTCGTAAGGAGAAAAGAAGATATATTATAGTGCACCAACGTTGACCCTCATTGTATTTGTGTCCCTTTGGTAAATTCATAAAATAAATTTTATAATCGAGATTACAAACATTATGTTCTCGAACCTCGACTCATCAAATCACGAACTATATGATACAGTCAATAGTACCTTCTATTCTCTAACTTCAAACACCATTTACGATGAGATTTGCACGGTGGGTAAGTACTACTTCTAATATTAATTTTTATAAAAAATAAATGTCATACACTAATGTGCAACATCATAATTATGTATGTTTATAGCAATGTTTTTTGGCATTGCGTTGTTGAAGGCAACATTGGCAGTGATCAAGATGCATCTCTAGTATATGTAACATTGATTGATTGATTGATTGATTGATTGATTGACTTTTTTCAATTTTCTTTTTAAAATGTGATCATTCTCCCTTGGATAAATCTTGCCTTCATGAAGTACTAAAAGACATAATCTTACTATTTTTCAGGTGTGATCAAATTCAAGCAGAAAAAATTGAGGAATTTTTTGTTATACATTAAAATCTGGATTCTTGCCATTATTTATGTGTTTGCATATCAACAAACATACCATTATTTTGGTCTGGCCTCATTATCAGACCGTCCACTGTCCTAACTGACGTTGACCAATCTCGCTAGGGGCTGACCATGCTTGTTTGTTTACGGTATTAAACTTGGCAAACCTCAGAATGATTGGCTTTTATTGGCTCCGTGATTTGATAATGGCGTTAGATACAATAGACTTAAGGGCGTTTAATTTCCGATGAAAAGTGACTTGGGGATCTTTAAATTACTAATTATGATATCTTAGTTTGTTTACCAAACTGTCTTATGAAACCTCTGAAAATTACACAATACAATAGAAAATGTCTAAAGCCAAAAGCACAAGATCAAATTTGTGTAAACAAATGTCTATGCGCTATTTGAAAAGAATAAAATATGAGCATGTTTTGATGTGATTTTAATTATTAATAACGAGGTATACGTTGACGTTTTCAGAAATACTTTATACCATAGATCTTTTCAGCTGCAAATCACAGGCGATTAGTGCTTGTAATCGTGCATTTAAAAATTCCTCAACAAATCTCTATATACAACAAGAAAGCATCCTTCATTTAAACTCCTTGACGTGAGAGAGCTGTATGTTTAATTACTTATTAAAGAGTAGGAATTTGGAACACTTTTTACGGTATTGAAGCCGTCACTGCTAGCCTCATTAGTCTTCAATGGAACGTTACGATCCCATGTCATGTCTGTTGACTAGTGCTTTGTATAGATACGTCTCAATTTTTTTAATTTATTTTTATCAAATGTAAATTTGACCCATATAAGAAATTCGTCACTTATGCGGAAACATCCATTCATCCTTTCTTTTTTAATGCTTTAAGCTTATGCTGTTCATTTTTCCATTGACAACTCTGTATTACAGTTTGTTATTTAATTCAGAATTCTATTTCATTTCAATGAAAAAAAAACTTTTAAACCCGTGTTTTTCTTTTCATGAATAATAAATATTAAAAATATTTTTTTTTATTATAAAAGTACATATATTTTATGAACGGTATGGAATCTTCCCGGTATTGACGATTGCAAATTCTCTACGGAATTACATATAGTGAATCATAAAACTACAATAATAATACAAATATTGCACTTTAAAATTGAAGAAAGGGTGCAGATAATTCAATGACATCGCACCACCCCCTCCATCTCAACTTTTTACAGCAGTCTTCACGATATTGAGACTACCTTTCAGTAATTTTTTTTTTATAAACTGAAAATTGTCCTTCAAATTAAATTTGAAGCCCAGTTCAAACTTGAGATTTTAAAGTAAAGGCGAAATGAACAATGGAAGGAATAAGTGCAGAATGTATACAAAATGCCAAACAAAGATAAAAAACGATTACAAGCAAGTGTTAGCATGTAGAGTAAAGTTTGGGTTTTTTCATCAGAATTAATGAAGAAGGTTATTGTTAGAGAGTAAAATCATATGTCATGAAGATGGCTCTTATTTCGGTATGTTTTGTCATAAAATTACAATAATGAAGGTGGCGATGGCTTGAGAACAAGAAAGGTTTAATCTGCCAAATAATAAACTCTTTCTCTCTCTATTTGAATTCCAATAACATTTTGCATTTGTCATTGAATCCCCTTCCAGCTTCTATTTATTTCCACAAAACAAAACCAGGAATTGATGCCGCTGTCCTGACAGCAGACGCTGGTCATAAACAACATCATATTCAATAAAAGACAAAATAATGCAAAAAGTTAGGCTTTGTAATTAGAAACCCTTAAGTGGTGCCAAATAGAGTAACAAAAAGGAAAAAACAGACAACCATTGTTTATAAATCGACCATTTAATTCAATGGCGAATTCCTCATTGATTTGACCAAGGGTATTTATCGAGACATCCACTTTTCCCAAGCAATTGTAAGAGGAATAGTTTTTAAGTGAAAAAGTCTTATGACAAAACTCCAGGAATAAAGCTTATTCAAATAAGGGATCAATGATAGTTGTTACGTTTAGATGTATTCTCTTACGTCAAAACAAACAACTTGAAGATGTTTATCCCTCCTGCGAAGTCTTCATAATGTGATATTCATTGAGTTGACAGTGTTAACTTTGGAAAATTCTGCATCAATATTATATACCGTCATTCTGAGACTTATGTATGCTGCACAGATATCATATCAGTCATTCTAACACTCAAATATGCTGCGCCTATATGATACAGAGTCATGCTGACACTCAAATATGCTGCGCCTGTATGATATAGAGTCATGCTGACACTTAAACATGCTACACCGATATGATATAGAGTCGTGCTGACACTTGAATATGCTACATGTATACCGATATGATATAGAGTCATGCTGACACTTGAATATGCTATACCGATATGATATAGAGTCATGCTGACACTGAAATATACATTACCGATATGATATAGAGTCGTGCCGACACTTAAATATGCTATACCGATATGATATAGAGTCGTGCTGACACTTACATATGCTATACCCATATGATATAGAGTCATGCTGACACTTAATATGCTTCACCGAAATGATATAGAGTCACGCTGACTTAAACATGCTGTACCGATATGATATAGATATAGAGTCATGCTGACTTAAATATGCTGTATCGATATGATGTAGAGTCTTGCTGACACATATATGCTGCATTGATATCGTATGTGTCATTGTGACACATAAATATGCTACACCGATATGATATAGAACACTTAAATATGTTGCGCCGATATGATACAGAGTCGTTCTTAAGTGGTTAATCAATGTTTTTAAGATTTGTGGTCCATAACAAGGATTCAAATTTCATACATGTAAATTATATATAAAATGATCGGGGAAAATAATGTTTACAACAACATACTGTGAATATTCTAAAATATAGATAACAAAAAACATATTTAGAAAATGAATAAACCAAAAACCAGAAAATTAAGAGGATTAATGATTGTTTATATTGTATTTAGGGATTAACAAGTCCTTAATCTTTGCTTTCTCAACATGTGAATGAACCTTTGCGATATTTTTCATATCCATAATTAATTCTGCTTTATATATAAAACCGCATTAATAAGAGATTATCAAAATTACACGTATACGGATACGCACTGACATTCAAAGAAAGTCTCATTCATTTTGTTTGTCAATGGTTTTGAAATCAAATAATTTTGTACAAGCGGTTTTCTGAATTACCAGAAACGATTTGTTTTCAAAAAAAATTATTATTGTAAATAAGATTTACATTTTTTTTTTTCAAAATTCAGTTATATTTCTCTCTGATATTATATTTGATAGTATCTTTATACACCCAAACTTATTCAATATCGTACTCTTAACTGGTTAAAATTATGCTGTGGCAATACTTTTGAAGAAAAACTTACTCTTTACCCATACACTAAAGGTAAAATTAAATTCGACATTTTAATAGAGTTTAAAATTATTTATTGACAGGTAACCACACTTCATTCATTTTCCAAAATTCTTCATATACAAGCCCCGCATTTATCACGGAAACGGAATTGTTTATACTAAGAGATTTTTTCTTCTTTTGATGGTAGTCAAATTTTCCTCTTTTGATGACAGTAGTCACAAATTTTTGTGTTTCCGTTTATTTTGCTTTTTACTAATGACAGTCTTTTTAAATATATAAGCAATGCCCACAGTAACAAAGCCATAATAAATAAGTTGTTTTGTAGGGCTGGGACGATACAACTTTTTCCATATCGATACATATCACGATATTTGAGCCACGATACGATATGTATCACGATATGTTTAATTGCTTCTAAAATCTTTTTTTGCATTGAAATAAACAAATTATTTCTTTGCAAATAAGAATAATTTATTCAAAATCATTGTTTATATGTTGTAAAACAAAAATATTTTACTCAATATCTATACTTATATTTAACATTTATTGCGTGGACCTCATTTAAACCGGATGCTATGGGCAAACGACAGGCTACGCATGCATGCTGGAGAGTACACCTTAGGTAACTTGCGCCCTTGTTCGCCATTTTGGCAAATCGTGCTTTTAAATCCGCATATCGCATTTACATATTCATAGGCGGATCCGAATTTCCCTTTTATACATATACTTTTATATACAAAGTAAACTTATTTTATAGTACAAGCATTTTGAAAAGTAGGAAGAACTTGCAGTATATAGATACATGTAACTTATAAACAACTTGAATGAAAAACGTCATTTAACGACTAAATCAAGCTTTTAAAAGATAGAACAAGTTTTCACCGGCATTTGTTTTGTGCTTCAAGGCTCGCAAAATATTTTTTTTTATTTCAGCAACCCAATACCGTTTGATAGAGGTCAATATATAGCAAAGGCTTTTAATGTGTGTGAGTGTGTTGGGGGGAGGGGTGGTTCGGACAAAAAAATCTGCGTGCTACAGAGCTGTAATACACGTGAACCATCAGATCTCTATATTTCCCCTGATAGATTTCTTTCGCATAAATCCAGAACAGGTGTCAAGTCTGAGCCATTACGGGTTACATGTATCTAAATAGCCAAATATTTGAAACTGGCAAAACTAAAGGCCGCTAATCGGAGATAAAATTTAACAATTTTGCTTTGAGATTACAATCAGTCATAAGTAGGCAGATCATTGTGGAAAATGTGAACAAACCTACATAAATATTCACTACACCTAGAAAATTTCTTAATTGAATTTCGGTTAGAAAAACATATATATGGTCCACGTATTGTAGTCCTTTTTTAAAGGACATCAACTTGTTTTATATATTAAACCCCAAATGTTAAATAAACAAAGAAAAACAGAAGTAAGATTTTTTGGGCGATATTTCGATATTTTTTCAAATGTATCGATATGTGTATCGTCCTCACATATATCACGATATATCGATATCTCGATATATCGTCCCAGCCCTATTGTTTTGTTACTTTAGTTTGAAGATACTCCGACCGCATTATTACAGCATTATTACCTGTTCAGCGCCCTTGTGTCGCTTTTTGGGGTTCAGTACAGTAGATTTCCTCCTCGACTGTTTCTCCCCCGCGGCATAAGATTGTCTTCTCCCTGCCTCAGCGGGTAACTTCTTAGGTTCACCAAACAGGGAGGGTTTCCGGGGGGTAGAGGGGGTCTGGATCGAATCCCTCCTTTGCATATTCTCAAAAGCTGTAGAAGTACGGCGGGTGGTCATTGTTACACATCCAACAAGAAATAGCAGTGCTCCAGTGCCTAAGATAGCTTCGTGTAAATTCTCAAGTGCTCCTAATTCAACTTATGGTGATGCAAAATGTATAAACTTTATATAACGCTCAAGAGAGTTTATTACTCGATTATATTAATGAACATAATGCCACTTGTGCCGCGATTTACCTGTGAAAAAAGTAGTTTTGATTGAAAATGATCCCAAGACAAAACATTGCTGGACTAGAACTGTCCGTTTAAGTGGCGTCCATAGAAGACTTAATCCGCCAATGAATGTGTTGTTTTTCACCTGTTTGAACCAACTAGCCCTTGGAGCACCTGTTACAACCACTTCTTCCTTCTCTGTGTGTATGGACCAGAAGTCAAAGCTAAGTTTTATTGTTCCACCAGGTCCTATACACTGCCTTATTAGAATAAGGCAAAAATAATTCCTCTCAGTTGTTGGAGCTAATTACTCAACACAATAGGTTCATTTGGCCAAAGCCCATAAAATTATTCCGTCCTCGTTCTTTAAAATGAACGCATTCCAAACTTTCTTCTTCATTCAATTTCTACGATATAGAACATTCAATGGTTTTACTTTCAATTCATCTTCAGACCGAATTTCTCGGATGAAAGGTCAACTTCTCCAAGATGTTGGTCATTTGGTCAATTGGTTATTTGGTCAATTGGCCATTTGGCTAATTGTAGAAGGTGTCGCCCAAATTCACTGTAAATCAGCCTGTGGTGTTGACAACAAGAGATACATGTACTACTAAACTTTGGTAAGTTACCAGGACACTATTATTGTCTATCGATATTGGATCTGCTAAAACATACTATACACGTAACGCTTTGTGATCCTGTTGCTGCATAAAGCAACAATCCAAAACGGTCGAAGTACATGACAATATTTCATTCTACATATTTATATGTATCAAAATAAGCATGTACATTAAAAATCCCATGGCTTTTCTCTTTTGGTCATCTTCTATTTTTTTGCGAAAACATCTTGTCAAAAGATGTTTTCGCAAAAAGATGTTGCTGCATAAAGCCACGATCGGAAACGGTCGAAGTACATGACAATATTTCTTTCTATATATACATGTATATTCATATGTATCAAAACAAGCATGTACATTAAAAATCCCATGATCGACAATGAAAAATGCAAGAAGCATCCTGATAATTTTGCATTGACAATGTATTTTAGCCCTCTGTCGGAATCTGCGTTAATACAACTACACTTTCAAAAATCATTGAAGTTGCACGAAATGACCAATATAAGCAATAGTTTAGCAAATTTCCAGGAAACCAAGTGAAACAGACTAACAGACAACGAGAAAACCTTTTGTTCCCTCTAGATTCACGAGAATAAACCAAATTTTACATTGAATTTCATGTAAGATCGGCAAATGATATCAATTGCAAATATTGCGCTAAGATGTAAATCCAAATTAGGAAGTGTAATTCGATGGCATTGGTCTTTGTTAAGGGTATTCTTTTTGTAAATGCAAACCTTATGTACATGTTTAGGAGAATGGATTTGTTTGTTTGTGTGCCAACGGATAGAATATTTAGCTTTTCTTTGTTGATCTTAACAATTCAATGTTATCAGATCAAGGCTGTCGTTCTTGTTAACTTTAATACGATATAATTTTATATCCCTGACATGTCGAACAAATGGCAAAATAGACTTCTTCATATCGCACTTAATTAAAAATTAATTTTTACACATCACTTCATAGATGTACAAGATATCGTCTTTATCCAACACCATTTTTGAAATCATTAAAATTACATTTAATTTGATGACGAGAGAAATATAAATTGAACACAATAGTTAAACCAATGATAGGGAGATTTGAATGTGTAAGTAAATTATTCTAATCCATTCCAGTTCTTATTAAAAATTATCCTTAGTAAAATTTAACTGTCTTTGGATTATATACGAACTTGAATGTTCATTAATTATATGCCAGTATATAAGAATTATAAGAATTTATAAAAATTATTTGGTTAATCATATATTTTAAAAATCAATCAAAACAAAAGCATGCAGAAAACCCGCGGAACATGTTTTTTTTTCTTCAGAATTTCTAATGCATTTGACGGAAGTAAAAGTGAGCAAGTTCAAGACCTTTTTTATTTATTTATTTTACATATTTTCAATAATAATAAAGTCATGTTTGTTTTTCTAGTTAAGTTAAATTTAAGGACAGTCAATGGAAATTAATTTTTCCCAGTTTCCAGAATTAAATGATCGATTCCTCGAAGGATGATTTGTCCGAGAAATTCACTTTGATATTTTATATTAATTTATTTTTCCTAATATTACATGTACATATTGATCTTATTAATACACAAAACAGCTAAATTAAAGTCCCCGATATATAATCATATTTTGTACCACGTTTGGGTGTAGTTAGCATTGAATTTTCTACAAACTGAACTCAGTCTTTTCTCCATACGTATATGGGTGATGACAATTTTAAAAACTATTTTACTTTCAACACCATACATTAATTATTTGAAGTTAAAGTAATATTTATCATTCGGGATTTATTTTATAGCACTAATCATTCCCCTATAACATTTAGACCTGGCATTTTTGTTTTGAATCCGAATTGATTTTTTCAACCAAACTTATTATGATATACAAGAAAACAAGACGATGGTGTATATTGTCTGCCCAATGCCCATGGTAATCATTCCATATATTTTTTTCCTCTAGCTTTTATTAAAGTTGAGTACAAAATATTTTTTTAATGCATTTTTTTTCTATACACCCTTTAGCTTTAAAAAGAACCATACTGACCTTTTTGTCATCTGATTTCTTTTTGCCTTTCTTGGCTCCGGAGATGGAATCTTTTCTCAGCACTTTGTGGACATTTTTCACTTTCGTCCAGTGCTTATGTGAATCCGACATTTTTTCCAAAATTTCCAGAACCAGAACTTAATCCAAAACATTTACCATTATGGGCGAACACTCGTGTCTGCAAAGATGATATAAGGGAAAATTCTTGAAGTGAAGGGCGTAATTGATAACTGAAAATTAGCTAAACTTCACCCGGTTTTGATATCTCGTTTTCATGGATAAATTGGTTATTAAGATATAATGACATTTCCATTTCATAATTCTACCCAGGTGGCTAGTTATGATGAACTTGCAGTCATTTTAAATTGCTTACCACGTGTGTTCATTTGTTCCCTCTGAAAAGAAGTTAATTACAGCCGAATTAGGACTTGTCCAAGGAGAAGACGAAAGAAAACTGCATAATGATCCATAAAAATCACTCTTTTTCTATTATTAACATGACAGTCAAAATTCTTGTATTTTTGTATGTCTCTATACCCAATTCTGTGAAAAAATATTATCGAGTTTTTCTTCCTCGAGGAAAGTGGATAAAATAACAAAGATAGCTAAGTGAATGTCCAGAATTGTTTGAAATTGACAATCCATGACAAACATAAGTAAAAGTATTTACTTGGCGTTGTTTGTTTCACTTTCTTGACAAACCTCAAAAGATTCTAGCTTGTTGTTTTGGCGGATTAATTTAAGAATTTCAATAATATTTTCTTTAGTAAACAATAGAAAGTGCGTAAACGTTTAATCTTTTTAAGAGTATATCATTTTGATATTATTTCAATCTCAACAAGTTTTATATGAAAACAACTGTTCATCTTTCCCCTTTTAATAGTGAATGTCTGATTAGTTGATATCGTCGATGTATTGTAAGACCTATACAAGTATATTCTGATTTCAAATAAAGAACATAAAAAAGATAGATTGCTGAAAATACTGTATATATTAATTGCTGGCATTCGGCGAAACACTTGTGTGCAATAGTAAAAAAGATAATGAAATTGTGAATAGTACTAAGGTTTATACTTGCTTCTGATTTAAATCGATACTGTATGGGGTAACTATGGCGGATTTAGGAGTTAATCATAAGTTTAATGCGCTTAAATATGTCAAAAAATAAAGATCTATTGAATTCACTTTCCTGCAATTAGTTCCTTTGAGAGTATACAACAATATATATGGGCAATCTGTATAATGAACTTTAATGAACTTGATTGGTTCGAACAGACGAAGGGGTAGTTATAAAGAATATATCAATGTGGTTTAGAATATTTGGAACAGAGAAATCCTAGAGAAAATTTTGACTAATAGGAAAGGGGAAATTCTATTGTGAAAGATTAAGAAATCTCAAAGTGATTTACTCGTTTGTAAATCATTTAATTTTAGCTGTAACACGTCATTTGATTTGATAAAAGATTCATTTTATATAGTATAACATTAGTTGCCTACGTCTCATGAGTTACGAGTACGTCAAAAACGTATTACTCCGCTTGCGTCGTTTAAGGAATTTAATTTCAGTGTAGACAATTAGATAATTTTCCTCTAAAATGGCTTCAAATTGAGCATATTTTAAAAATAACGTCAAGCGGAGAAAAACGCTTTTGACGTAACTCATTGTGACGCAGGCAACTTATGTTATACGATATAAACAAAATCTTTTATCCAATCAAATGACGTGTTACAACTAAAATTAAATAATTAAGTGACAACTTGAAAAAGAGAACAGAGAAGTCTCAATTAGTTGCAGAACTGTAGCTCTTTGCTTGAGAAAATTCGGACAGATAAAGCAGAGAAGGATTAAGACTATCAAGAAAATAGAAATGCCAGGGTGACAAATTATCTGGAAAAGAAAAATTCTCTGGTGCCAGAGAGAGACAACAGGAGCAGAGAAATCCAAGGATGACAGAACATACCATTTCAGACTTGAAAATTACAGTGTTCACGCTTTAATGCAGAACAGTTATCTTTGTCTCTGAAATGACTTGCTTCAAGCTTTTTTTCTATATAAAAATTATGGTTGCATTGGGAAGTAACTAAGTGCTATATCCTGAAAATTTTGTTTTTGTTTCATATGTATGTATATCATATCTCAAAATTTAACGATGAACGTTCCCAAATACCACTGAATTTTCAAGAATCGTAATAAAAATACTACATGTAGCTCCCGACGTCTGCAGACGTATGTTCTTGAGAGCAAATACCTTCAGACGTCTATATAGTCCTCTCTGCCAGATACAGTAGAATCAAAATCAATGTTAGTTTTAGTAACAGTGTACACAAACAGATAATATCTTTTTTAGACTATAAATGTTTAAACTATCACCAAGGCTTCAGTAGTCTTTTAGAATGGTTTAGACAACTAATATTGAATTATTGGCATTGAGAGAAAAGGAGAGAATATATCAATTATCAGAATTAAAAGAACTGGAGATTTAAAGTACACAGATCAGAAACACCCAAGGCCAGTCTCAATGTAATGACATTTAAAAATTGAAACATGACCACAGAGGAAAAGGAACAGTTAAAATTGTACAGAAAAAGATAGCATTATCAGATGGTTGCTTTTTGTTTTGCCTGGAATTTAAGGGTTTTTTAAAAGAATTTGTTATAGGTGTTTTAGTGCAAATTACATGCACATTTATTCAAATTAAACTAAGAATTAAATATAGATATTTTTTTAATCAGATTTGTCTGAGGCAACCGTCTTTATTTTCAAATTAAGAAATTAAGTGCCATTGTGGCATTATCGCACGATGAGAAATTAACTCCCATATACGTTTATAACGAATAGAAGAATGTCAAATTTAGACAAAATATTATAACAGATTTTTTCAAATGATTTTATTCGTCATTTCCAACTTTTTAAAACTAAATTTTAAAGATTTAACTAGATCAGAAATAACTTTGACTAAAAATATTTGAAACTTTTATTTCCTTTATTTCTTTTATCAATCTCCATTACGAAAATCATTCAGAACAAGGAGATGACACAATATTGTGAAATTTAATTCAGTGGATTTGATATCAAATCCTTCCAAGGACAAACCCGAGAGGTAAATCGTGCAAAAAGAGGATTTAATCTGCTTTGAAGTTTAAATTTCGGTGTGAAGTATTCTCTCAATCTTAAGAAATGATTTATTCAATAGACAGTTATACATAACATCTAGTTTTAAATCTTGTGTCAAAATAAAGGAAGTGTAATACACTAAGCCCACTACCCACCCCCTCTTCCAAAAAAAAAAAAACAAGAAGAAAGACATGAATTGAGGCGAGAGGCGTCATCACATATGATACTATATTTGTAGGAGAAACTACACCTATAAATGCTAATTATAATTTTTAATTTCGCCTTGGACCAAATGGGGACCCTGAAGAACCCTGTCTCTTATATGAAATATTACCCCCTTTTTCAAAATTCCTGGATCCGCCCCCAGGTTGCAAGAACTTGAAAAATGGACAATTGAAACTATTTAATGTTGTTTGTTTGGGCCATTTGCATTGGCAAGCTAAATTGTGTTATACGAACATGTATACTTTATTTTAAGCAGTTTTTTCAGAGGTCAGGTTCTACACTTTTAACTTATTTGTCGTTTAAAGTTGAGATGATTATAGAACTGGAGAAAAATGGTTAAAATCGGTGACGGGAAAGTAATTCAAGGGGTTATCTTTAAAAAAATTTTAAGGAAGAATCTAAGAACTTTGAAAATTTCATGTACAGTAAAACACAGTTATAGCGAAGTGCAAGGAAGGGACGATTTTACATCGTTATAAGCATAATTCATAAGGCTGATTCACATCAGTCTGTAGGAACAGCCCCGTTGACATGTAGCACATTTAGAAGCAAAACTAATATTTTTTCTCAAATATATGGTAGAGTATGGTTTGCTTTTCTGAATAAGTTCGTTCAAATGTTTTTTTTTTCTTTCCTTTTTATAAGTAATTTGTCCAGGTAAAATTAGCCATTGCAGAGCTACCAGTCTTTTCCAAGAGAATGCAATAAAATACTTTTCACGAATAGCCATATGATATATTTTTGATTACAGGTATATAGTATATATGATACAATCTTTCTCCTTAGTCCAACTATTACGAAATGGTAATTCAAAAATTGTTACCTGCAAATGTCAACGACATCGATGGTAAATCCAGACAAAACGAACGGAATATCAGAACGGGTGACATTTTAACACAGGACACATAGCGTGTAATTCCAGTGTTAATAGTAATTAAAGTAAACTGTCTGTATAACATTACGGAGACTTAGTCTATATAAATACAATAACCAGATTAATGTCTAACACCAAACATAATTGCTGTATTTAAAAATAAAACTTCATAATCCTTCCGTTGGTTTCTTTGCCCATTGCATGCCCTGCAAAAATTCAACAAGCAATACATGTATCGATAGTAATAATTTGAAAAAAATATGATTAATATTTTTAAGATTTTATAATGAGAAACAATCTAAAACATCTTTGCTGTTCGCCCGAAAGAGATAAAAATTCAGTGGTAAATATATGATACAACAAATTCATTATTATATTTTAAGGTTCATAATTACCCTCCCTCATTTAAATTGATAACTTTTACACTTAAGATTTTAAAATAGCTTGCGGGTTGAAATTGGACACAAAAGACATTCCGAGTTGACAAAACTATAAAGGAATAATAGACATTGATCACATAAAGAGTTATCTCTCTTATAAGATTATCAATTATCCTTAATGTAGTAAATGCTCTAATTTGAATCATAAACATGGCAAGATGTCACCTATTCGAACCTCTAATTTGAACCGTAAACATGGCATCAAGAAAAGAGTTTAAATTAAACTTTTTAATTAAAATATAATATTGGATGTTTCAAAAGCAGCCATGATATTCATCATCTTTATGTAGTTCTCTTGTCAAACTTCCTGTTCCTAATACACGTATACTTCCTTAACCTTTGAACCCAACAGGTATCTGTTACGTCATCAAACATCGCGACTCCTGCCCCGGGGGTCGTAATTCGTCAGTATAGGTAGGCACCCGGTAGTCAGTCAAAATACACCACGTTAGTGCAATCTCACACGTGTATCAATGACATTCACTGGATACTTGTGAAAACTTGCAGTCTATTCTTAAAATAAGAGTAAAATCATTGACAATGTCTCATTTGTTTGTCTTGGTGCTTTTGATTTTTGGTACTTCTGTGAATGGACAATTTCAGCGAATGTTTCAGCAGAATATTGTTGACCAGCCGCCAGATACTGGGAAGATCCTCATCCAATCAGAACTCAAGATAGAGACCCTGGTAAGTGATGGTCTCACCGGACTAAAGCATTCAAATTAATTTTTATGTCGCTTTTTCTTAATTTAAGATTATATAATGACGTATTTAAAATATCTTATCTAACGTTTATCTAAAATACAGAGAAATATTTATTTGCTTTGTACACATTGAACAATTTCCTACTCCGTCAACATATCTTTTGTATTTTTAAAAATATGTATCCAAAATGAAAGGGGGGCTAAACCACCATAAAAAGGTAAACCCCAAATTTCAATGCCTATATTATGTATACATTTGCAAAAAAAAAATGGGGGGGGGGGAACCCCCCCCCCCCCCCCGGTTCCGACGCCTATGTAGCGACCTTGAACTTTCGCCTATGTCTTGATCGATACACTTTTCTTATAAAAAAGAAATGACATAAAAATTCCATACAGTATAAGAACAATAGATAATTCAATAAGATGTTCTAAATGAGATATGGAGATTTATGGCCACTTTGATTTATGAACTTCTTTCAACAATTCTTGGATAAAATCTTTTTTACTGAAAAAATCGAGTTTTAAACAACTCCTTTAGGTGGCAACCCTTAGTTATGATCGTATCGTGCTTTATGAGTAAAGATTTGCACATTTGCGAGTACTTTAGGCATACTTTAAACGTCCAGATTATTTTTTTAATCTCGAAAGTTTAGACGTTTCTCTGAAAATGATGGGAAGACGATAACTACTAGTAGCTTTCACATATTGTACAGATTCATTACCGTTAGGCATTTGATTAGAAATACTATGTTCATTCATTTTAAACATTGATGATTCATTGAAAGACGAACGATTTTCCTTTTCCGAAAATTGATAAAAGATATCATATAATCTAAGTCTTCTTTATATAATTATGTATTTTGTTCTTTGTTTCCTTTTCTGTAATCTCGCTTTTTGTCCCCACCTTCGGGGTGACATTAAATTTCTTTTATCTGTCAGTCTGTTAGCTGCAGATCTGTAGCGTTATGGTTTTATATATTTGTCTTTGACCATAATGTCCGTCTGTCGAAGAAATAATATCCTTGGTTTTACCTTTGGAATGAGAAGCGAAGTGACTCTCATATTTCACATGTACATTATCTGTGACAAGATTTTTGACTCCGTGACCTTGAAGTTTGACCTACTTTTCAAAAATGTACACATTACTTAAAACTGCTCATAACTTTTGAAAAAGAAAAGATAAGGTTTTCATATTACAGATGTATACCTGTATTACCTTTGACGTGGCCTTTCTAAATATGCTGCAATTTATGAACCGTTGACCTTGACCTTGAATAATAAACCTATTTTTCCAAAATGTTATCTTTCTTATTTCAATATCATATTGATTGAGAAGAGATAGAACTTTCATATTTGACATGATCATTACCTGTAACAAGATGTTTCCGAGCATGCTTTTATTTTGACCCCTTGACCTTGACCTTCATTGATATTTGACCTTATTTTGAAAAAAAATTAACTTTGGTGTTTTCTTCTAAATGACATATGATAGGGCGTTCATATTTGACACAATTTGCCATGAATAATGGCATTTCATATCCTAAGAAACCGAAAGGGAGGGGGGATTTTTTTTTATTTTCGTGTTTTGTTTTGAAATTACGTGATGAAATGACGTAATTTGACGTATTAAACAATTTCTCTAGCGCGATGCGATATATTTAGCTTGGTTACAGACCTGACAAAATTTCGATCAAAAGTTTAAATAAATCAAAAGAGTCCTTTGTTTTGTTTATCTGATTTTGTGGTCATGCATTGTGTTTCGAGTTTCTTTTAAGAAATTGACGTTTTGATTACTAGTATCTCTTCTCTGTACTTTCAAGATTAGTTGTTTTATCGAAAAACAAAACGAATCGAAAAGCAAGCAAACAACAAAGACACCCCACCCCACCACGCACCCAAAATTTGATGGTCAAATTATAAATAATCTTTGCCTATCAGTGTATTAAATTCTACGTTTATTTTCATTAATAGGAAATGCCAGAGGACTGTGCAAAGAAAGCCATTTCCGGTGACACGCTCGTGTTCGATTATGAGGTTTGTAAATCACGTCAGTAAAAATTAATTTGGAACGATATTACAATTAAATCTGTATTAATCAGTAAGTTAAACAACTTTTATGTTGAAATATTTTGTTAAGATAAATTTGTAAACATTTATAATATAAATTCAGTTTTGCTAGATCACTTCAGAAAATGCTTGTATTTTCAGGGCTTAATAAACGGGATTCATATAGAAGACTCCCACAATACAGGAGAGAAGGGGGCCACTGACAAAGAACCACTGGTGGTACCCACAGGGAAGGGGGCTGTTATACCGGGTAAGTGTCCAATGAAGCAGGTGCGAGCAATGCTTTGAGTCAAGTACAGCTAAAGTATCTGCACGACTGCGTGAATGTTGTGATTTATACTTAATAAATATGTCTTTTCATGAACAATTTCTTAAGATGACTTAAAATTATTTTAAACTAAAATTCAAAACTTTTTTCTCTAGGACTAGAGGCTGGGGTATTAGGAATGTGTATCGGGTGAGTACTTTTTTAACGTGTCTCATAAACAATATACAAATAAACGTCTTTCTTCTAAAAAAATTGTGGTTTCTTACTTTAAGACCAAGAAATTTATAACAGTTTGTTGTGATCCCCATTTTATTATTATAGAGAAAAGAGGAAACTCATTATTCCTCCTCATCTGGCTTTTGGAGAAAAGGGAGTCACTGACGTCATTCCTGGTAAATATAGCACTATATTTGCAATTGTTTCCCATTCACGGTTCAGTAGGACTTAATGCAATTGGCAGATCAACAACTCTCATTGAAGACATCGAAGTATAAACGTGTGTGCGTATATTATTTTTTAACTTTTTTTCAGAGAATGCCGAGATAACCTTCATTGTGACCCTGCTGGAGATCGTTCCTAAGAGTTGGGGGGAGTGGTACGTGGATATCGTCTGGTCGGCCTGCTACCTCGCCTTTGTGGGGGGAATTATCGTCCTTATGGGGCAGGGCATCCAGGAAAAGAGGAAAGCGCTGAGGAGGGAGCAAAAGAAGGCGCAGTACTACAGCCGATAGGTCACGTGACTTACAAGGGCCTGTCGTTGTGCAAAATTTCATGCAGATCTCATGAAACATTCATAATCATAGGATCTATTTAAAAATATTTTAACTTAAACACTATTCTTTTAAAACTGTAGGCGAAACGTCACGTCAGTACCGTGTATAGCGTACAAGAGCTTTATAAGTACGCGCATTCAGATCTTGGATTTACTACTGTTGTTATATCAGAAAATGATGATGGTTGTTAATTTTGCACATATTTTGATATAAAATACTCTCCAAGTCCTTTTTACATCGTCAAGTGTATTAAGATATATTAACGATGTCATTTTACTTAATGAAATGTATTTATTTATTTATTATATTTTCAATTACCCATCTAAAAGTGACTATTTTACATGTAGATGGTTAATAATGCAATCTGAATTGCAAGTTAAATAATGAACTCCCAAGTTGATATTTATGATTGTTTTTTTATTTTTGATTTGAATATGTGTGATAAAGTAAGAAAGTGTAATACTACATTACAATTTTATCAAGAAATGTTTATGGTTTGTTCTTGTGGCTGAGTGGATACACATTTTTGAAAAGGGGCAACCAGACAAAAATTATCTTTGACTACCTAGTTGGTCCAAACTGTTTGGGGGTGGGGTAGACCATCCCTGCTACTATGTGCCTGTGTCACATTATTAAAATAAAACTTTCATTGTGTCACTGTTCTGAAAAATGTCAGTTTCATCTTAATGTAAATTAAAGAACCAGAAATAATACTATAAATATTGTTTTTATTAATCAAGACATTGAATCTCCATATTCCAATACCAGGTATACAGAAACTGATTTTTCTTTTTCAAAAATAAGATGCAAATAATATAAATATACAGCTAATACTTCATGCATTTAAGAATGACTTATATCCTCTACCCCTGAATCAGAGATGAATTATACCCCCCCTTTCTACTTTGTACATGTAGGTGAGTAAATGCATTATAACCTGTAGCTTGATATAAATGCCTTATGATCATAATCTAGAAGAAAAACTTTCATAACATGCAATTAGCATCCTTTTTCCTATGAAATTTCTATAAATATATTAAAATATAAATTATGAAAAAAAATGGCAGTAAATATCTTGCTTGCAGAAAGTAATCATTGACTACATACATGTATAAAACAAATGTAGATGCAGTATGATGTAATATGCTATATAGGTACATTTGTTGACACCTGAAATTAAAACAGATTAATCAAACTTCACAATAAGCATCAATTGCATGTAGTGATTTATGGCATAATATTTGAAGGAAATGAAATCTTAATCAATACTATGATCATAGTTACAAACAGCTAAGGAATCTACAAATATAAATCTTCACAAAATTATACAAAGAATGGAATTTTAGTAGCAAATAATAGTATGAAAACACACTGTACTACTGAAAGACTGCGTTACGAAAGATGTCAATCATTTATGAATTTTTCTCCTTGATTTAAAGTTCATTGGCATATTAGTAATATACTTTAAAGTCTAATCTACATGTACCTGTACACAGTCCTTCTTTCGTAAGTTCACCATAATGCTCATAGATTTATATTACCTTAACTTTCTGATTCTGACATATCAATTGATCCATGCTTAACAAATCTTATTAGGAGAAGAGAAATAACTTTCATATAAAAATACAAAAGTTCTTCCATACATTAAATCCATAAAGTTCAACAATACACTGTCAGAGATTACACTTCTAGCAGCTTTCAGTAAATTATACATATAAATACAAATCAATTTATACATCAAAATGATTTAATCATGCTCTGCTATGTATGGAATAATTCAATTCTCCATGAAAATAATTTAAACAGAATCAGAATCAGAATCAGTTTATTCGCTCAAACCATACAGCATGGTACATGAGGAACATAAAGTATATACAATGTCTATAATGTCGTCAGAGGTGCATTAGTATAAATATACACACATATAAATAATTAATATAAATATATATACGTAAATAAATGTTTTACAACTGCATGTAGAGAGGATACATATAGTACATGTAATAATAAAGTATATGCAAAAAGAAAATACCAGGAGGACAGCTAAGAAGGACAGACAGTCTCAAATATTTTTGAAATAAATGTACATAGTTTTTGTAAAGATTGTATATTTGAATTGGCCATGAGTTCATAAAACTGACAACATTTGGTCTGGTGCAGTAACTTTTGTGTAAAAATTTTTTTCTTATCTCTGAAAAAGCTGTACACTCTAAAATGTAGTGGTATTCATCGCCTATCTTTCCATTGTTACAAACTAAACATACTCTATCATTTAATGGGGTGCCACACCACCTCCCTGTTTCGACAGGTAGATGATGATTTGAGGTACGCATTTTCATCAATAGCTTTCTTTGTTTTGGGCGTAAATTTTTAATGTAGCTTTCAAATCCGAAATTGGTTTTAAAAATTTTATAAATCTGGCCTTTGGAAGAACTATTTATGTCATTTGACCATTTTTGAATGAACTGGTCTTTTAAATTCTGATTTACAATAGCACTTAGCCATTTAGCATTGACAACACCTTGCTCATTCCATATAAATGAAAGTCCACAATTATTTAGAATTTTTTGAATACATTCAATCCATTGACATTTAATACCATCGTTACTTAATTGGTTATACATATACTTGTACACAATATTGACAATTTTATCTTCTGCACATGTAAACATCTTTGACCAGTAAGTAATCATTCTCAAAAACATTGATGTACAAAGGGAATCTTCCAGTTTCTCCGTAAATCATGTAATTTGGTGTAGAACTTTTCAAATTAAATATAGTTTTTAAGAATTTTAAATGAACACGTTCAATTATTTCCATATTTTCATAGCCCCATATCTCACATCCGTAGAGTAAGATGGGTGTGACTATATCAAACAAGTCAAGCTGACATTCGATCGGTAAATTAAATTGTCTAATTTTTCTTATCACCCCGTACATTGCTTTCTGTGCTTGCTCACAAAGATGTTTCTTCGCTTTACAGTATGAACCTGTTCTTGATAATACAATTCCTAGATATTTAAATTCTTTTACATTTTCAATATTTTGGGTATTGTAATAAAATTTCCTCTTTAACATTGCCCCTTTGGAGAAAACCATGACTATCAAACATTAAGTTTCCATTGAGTACAATAAGTATAGAATTCATTCAATGCCTTTTGTAAATCATCATTCTGCCAAAATAACAGTGTCATCAGCATAAAATAAAATCAAAAGTTTTAAATGTAGTAATAATTCATCTTCAATTTCTTTACTAATAGTTTGTAATCCGACTATGTCCTTTTCTACCAAAAATTCTTCAAGATCGTTTATGTACAAAGAAAATAAAAAAGGTGACAGATTTTCGCCTTGTCTTACCCCGACATTACATTCAAAAAATCCCGAGGACATTCCATTTTGTTTCACTAAAGACTTAATTCCCATGTACATATTCCTTATATAATTGAAACATTTACCGTTAATACCATTTCTGAATAGCTTATTCCACAAACCGTTTCTCCATACAGTATCAAATGCCTGTTTGAAATCAATAAAGGCACAAAAAAGTTTCTTTTTTCTTTTCATAAGGATATCAGATCAAAGTTAAAATATGGTCTAATGTTGAGTAATTTTTCCTAAAACCTGCTTGATTATTATTTATTGACATACATTTCTAGTCTATTCGCCAATATGCGGGTAAAAAGTTTGCCTAAGCTTAGCAGAGATATAGGACGATAATTTTCACAGGTCTAACAATACCAATTAACCATTCATCTGGAACGAAACTATCAAAAATTATATTAAAAAACTTCTTATACAATGGTAAAAACGTTGACAATGTTGTAGAAATATGTTCATTTAGAATGTTATCATACCCTGCGGCTTTACCATACACAGCACTGAATGAAAAATATAGCACAAAAGTAATGCACATTTAACCCCATCTGATAGTTAATCCAGCAACTCAAATGGTAAGAAATATGTATCAAAACACCTATAAACTATCTGCAAAATGAATAAAATTATCACATTAGTCAGGCTTTTTAAAGCTATAAATACACTTATTATGCTAAGATCCATACAAATGTCAACAACATTGCTTCAACATTCTGTCAAAAAAAAGTCCTTGACTTGCTTCAAGAGGAACTTGTATTATCTTGTTGATAAATCCTGCATGCCCTCCATTATGACCTTCTCCGAGGAATCTGTGAATTTCTCCATGAAGTAGGCTCTCTGAAGATTTGGAGGCAAGCTACATGTACCTTCCCAATGGGCCTCATGAAAAGAATGTGACTAAAACAAGAAAGATATAAGAGATAAGATAATATGTAATCAGTTAAATCAGCATCCACTCATAATTCAGCTCTACTTCAAATGCATGAAGGAATACTGTATTTTCTCCATCATCAAGTTTAATTTAGTTTGCAAATGATTATTTATCTCAATAATGAAATGTTTATCTTTAATGGTCTGATAAATTGCCAGTACATTTATCTGTAAAATTCTACGTGCCCCATGTCACACAACAAATAAAATAAATAAAAGTTAATACATTTTGATAGATCTTACTCACACTTGTCTATAACATTATCTGAGCTTATGGACTTTATCTGAATACTTACGGACTTGACGTTCCTGGTCCAGGTCTTTTTACAGCGACCGTCACATATAGGACAGGGGCGCTGTAGGGGGTAACCTCCACATTCACGACAATTCTGACTCGATTTACCATCATACCAACATTTACCACATCTGAAATCAAATGTCATTTAAATTATCAAAGAATAATGCAAAATTATTCAGGCTATAAAGCCTCTTTTGAATCTTTCTACAGGATGCTGATGCAAAGGAATTCACATGGAACATCAAAAAAAGAAAACTTTGTCATCACGAGAGAGAGCATACAACCATGATAACAATATGTTGATTTTATGCTTACTGATAAAAGATTTGAACCTATTTTTGGTTCACTTTTAACATAATTACCATAATGTAGTTTAGACGCATTTAATACAAGAGCTTATATACATGAAGTTAAGTCAGTCAATCTTTCGATATGAAAGTTGATCGAGTGATAGTTTACATGTAACACGAAAGCATAAAATTGGTCATTTAATTCATCAGCTCTTGAAATACATGATCTAAACTTTTGATCCACAAGTACATAATTCAGAGAAGCAATGTAATGAAAAGTATGTGTGGTAACCTACAGATGACAGGTGTCAATCTTCCTCTGATAGGCGTCTGATTTCATCATCTCCTCCACCTCCTCCTTAGAGAATTCCTTCTCCTCCCCCTGGTCACCGGTCGTGTAGAATACTGTAGCCTTTGGTCCATTTAATACTTCATCTGGTAATTATATTAATGAGCAAAATATTATAATGGCAATAATATTTACAATGGAAATTCAGTATATAAATTATTAAAATTACAGATGTTTTTTCTTTTTGTTAATTTTTATATTAAAAAATCACACAGGGAATTAAATTAATAGAAAAATTTCAAGATAAAACATAGAATCCCCCCCCCCCAAAAAAATGTTATACATGCATTTTTTTTCATTTTGTGAATTATTTAATTATTAATTCCTAAAATTCATTTAAGACTATAATATAATCTTGTACAACCTTCCCCCTCAGCCCCAGCTGTCAGATTAACATCCATGGGGACCAGTTCATCATCTGGTGTGTTATCTTCAGCGAAGCCTTCATCTCCATCATCATTCTGTGCTCCCTCCATCTTATGTTCTAAAAATAACCATATTATCCTTATTAACAATAGTCACCGAGAGTCAAAACAAATGTACTATACAGTCTAACATGTTGAACATGTGCAGAGTCAGGTATGGTTACTCTAAGTAAGTGCCGGGCACACCCTCTAAAAACAAAAATGCATAGTTTTCCCTGTCATATTTATGTAATAAGTGTAATATTACAGTCATTTTGTTTTCAAATTCAGATCTTTTATTGGCCTAGCTGCAAAAACTCCACCTGACACTGCCCTTGACTTACTGGGCCTAGAAGGTATCCAGCCCGCTCACCAATCATTAGCAACCCAGCCATAATATGGTGTATTTTTGAACTTTGAAAAAGATACTTAAAATTTATACACTTTTATCAATCTCTACTATACAAAAGAACATCATTAGTCTTATTGTAAATATTTACGTCTTAATCTACATGTGTATAATTATGCTGCATGTCCTGTAAAAGTGAGGACAAAGAGCCCCTTGTCACTGCGAGCTCTTGATAAAAGCAATGTCTACATGAATAGATAATTTGGGCATTACATATTGATCTATGCAAAATATGTTCTCGTGGTAATGAGACATTCCAAGAAAAAAAATTGCCTTGATTAAGATTCGCACTGTTTAGACTTCATTTTGGTAAGCAACATACACATTAAATGTCATGTTACGTCAGTCTAGACGTACATGTAGCAAATATCACATGCAGTTTAACGAGTCGGATTTTGATTAAAACTGTGTTTGCCCTAACGGTAGCACCATCCTCAGTGTTTGAAATAACAGTGCGCCCGACCGCCCGAGACGCACAAATTTCATTACGGGTGAACAGATTTACACGTATCGACGCCCGACTGGACGTGTTAAAATTTCCCCTAAAATAAAATTCATATAATTGATAAATCTTTCTTAGATTAATGTCAAGTATAACTATTGGTAGCAAAGTGCAATAGGTACAGGGGTAGAAATCGTTATCGTTAGTCTGTAGATTTGGAATCATAATTATGGTGATCTGACCGCATTCACATTATCGCTTAATTAAGACAAATTTGTAAAAGACAATTATTTCTCGGGCTAGAGGATTTTTGGTAGGACTGACAACTTTCACTAGCAGCCAGCCCTGCATGTCTTGCTAATTTTACGGTGAGTTTCAAACACTGCTATCCTAGTTCATGAAATGGTAATCCAGAGACATATTGATAACCAGACACATTCTCTGGTAAACCCTATGTGTTGGTATGATTGACAGACACGTCTCTGTTATCATGATGTCAAATGATCCATAATTCATTCCGCATGAGCATTTTTGTTGTTGTCAAAGTCTACTTCATGAAAATGGTTCAACAAAACATAATATCTACAAATATCTGTGTAACAACCATGTACATCGATGATCTTCAACTGCTGTGTTGAAATGATCAATGAAGAAGCAATTCTGCAAAAAGTATTCAGCGTGCTACTCAAAATCACTTTAAAAAGGAAGACAATGATATGAAATATTTACACTGACAACCTCGTTGTAATTAACCTGAATAAAAATGAACAAAAAATTAACAAACCAGCAGAATTCAAAGCTTCAACTTTGTTTACTTCCCGTGGCTTTGGTTTGCGTTTCTGAACCCCGAACCCGAAATTATTATAATTTAAGAGAAAACATATATGTATGGTTGAAATAATAAATCGTTTATATCTTAAAATTATGACTGATTCATACAGTTTTAATAATATTTAAGGCGAAGAAAAAGACCCGATTTTATTTTTTAACTCTCTTTACATCGGGATCGGTATTCTAGGTCCAATTTTTAGCAAGCGCGAAAGACAAAACAAACGATAAAAAAAATGCTTGCACAATACAATGACTGAACGAGAAAGTGGTGAGTTCAGCCCTTATTCAAAGCCACTGATCATTGAGCTGTTAATGAAAAATAACATTTTATTCGGGGTACAAGGCCTTCTAAACAAAGTACGAAAGAATAGGACCTACTTTAGAGTACGCTAGAAAAATTGTGCAATTTAATGCAATTCAATTTTTTATTTAAGTATATTCAACTTGATTAAACATTATTATAAACTAATATTGCAATATTTGTTTCAAATATGTTTTATTAGCGATATTTTGACAAGAAAATAACAGTCATGATTCAATGCATTAAAGATTATTAACACACCGATTTCGATTACTATTTTGTTTCAGACTTAAAAATTCAAATAAATTTTATCAAAAATTAAATTAATTGCATTCTATATTGGTACATCACAGTAACCCATAGGGCTTTAACGTGACGAAGAGAGGGCGCGTTTAGTGGTTATCGTTATTTAGTAGGGCGAGAGAAGGTGCGTTAAGTCGTCAGCATTATGTAAATATTTTCACAGTAACAATGATTGAAACATTTCAACATGTTCAAGTTAAATTAGATCGGGATCAAACGATAAACTGTAACCTGATATCAAAAATTGAAATAACTCCTAAAATAAGGAAAACATACTAATTTTATTTAAAATATATATTCATTATGTTAAACTTAAGTAGAAAAACATATACAAAAAGCATTAATTGCATTAAATTATAAAATTTTACTAGTGCACTCTAAAGTACTCTATCGTACTAGCATAATCTGTTTAGTAGGACTGTTTTATTCATGTTGACATATTGTTCAAAGTATAGGAATGAATGGCTAATGAAGGACTGAGGAGAGTCCAGGATTGCAGCCTTTGCAGGAACTAGATCCATAAAGAACTTCTGAAACAGATTCCTGATGGAGAGGAAGTGTGCTGATATTATTAAGGAGGCCTTGATGCTTCACACCAAAGAAATCAATGGTAGTGATACTTGCTTTTCTCTGCAATTTAGTGCATGTCTGCATCAGTGCATGGCACATCATTTCCATGACTATTTTCAAAGTGGTATCATTATTATAATATAATAAATACACATTGAAGTTTGTTCATAAGTTATAAACATTGCAGATCTCACACATCAAGCTGAACAGTGGAAACAGAAATGTGATATTCAGCAAAACCAAAAACAAAGGTAAATTTCAAGCAAATTAAAAGAAATAGCTAAAAACATTTAAAACAAAATAAAACAAAAAACAGAAAAAAAGAACTCGTGTAGGTTACAATATTTTACCCTTCTTTCACTTGTCTAGATTGCAAGATGAATGCAAAACTCTTGAGTCCAAAAACATAAGCCTTCAGAGCACAGTAGAGAGTTTTAAGTTTTTTGGAGCAGTTTTCTTTTTAATTACTTCTGTGTCCTATACTGATTAGACATGCATGGAAGATGGTTTTAATGGATGATACATCTAAGGAAAGAGCAAACAGGTTGATTTTTGGTGCAGGTTTCATTTCCAAGAGAGCCAAACTTGCATGGTAAAAAATTAAACTAACTCACAAGATGATTAGCTTACCTCCACAAACTTGAATCCTCCCATCTTTTTCTTCCTTTTTTGCCTCCTAAGTCAAAGGCACGTGATCAAATTCTATAACTCTGGAAGGGCATTATAGATCACATACCAACTTCATGTCATATCCCAATTTTTTATGTAGGTCTAAAACTTTTAAAAAAAAATGTATACTTTTTGTTGGTTAATTGTGTGACTTTGCCTTACTTAAAGACAACATTCGTTGAGGTGAGCTCTTTAATCTCTGATTACCTATGTTTTATTCGTGTTACAAGGAAAAATAGGCACTATTTAGACTTTCTTTTGGAAATGCAACATTTGGTATCTATGGCATCATGTGACATCACAATCTGAACTTTCCAAATGGCTGATGCTGTTTTCTTTCCACATGAATGAAAAGTTTCTATAAATGCTATGATGAATGCACATTGAAGTATGAGAAAGAAAAGAAGTATAGAATCATAGTTCAAACAGAAAAAAATCTAAGATGTATTTAAAAACTAGACTTTGAAATTTCAGAGAGAATCCTAGCTTGGGTTGTAAGATGTGTGATCACCTCCAGCGAATGAACAACAGTCTAACGGAGGCCTACAGTAACAATCTAAAGGAAAAGGACCGACGAATCTCTGATCTCGGTAACTATTATCTAGAACAATGACATTTTTTGTCTAGTCATTGGCAAAGAACCCTAATCTTGATCAGATTCAATGATGTAAATAAAAACTTTGTCCCCTGATAACAATCTTTGGGCAAAAAAAATTGTGCATTCATTTAACTAGAAAATTAAGGATGATTGTATGGATTCATTTCTGTTTAAATCTGTTCTGCAAAAATAAATTAGCTTGCTCACCCTGAAATATTTAAATAATAATTTGCTTGCTATTTTTTTTCTCAGAAAATCAGCTGTTTGAATATACAAGAAATGCTACTTCAGAGAAGCAGTGGGACACAATAAAGTAAGAAAGATTTGTGATTGGTTTTTTGCGATGATAGTTATATTCTAATTCACAAGCTTTATTGATTGTCCAGTAAAATCCTGCAAAGCAGGCAACCTCATGTTACTTTTTTTTTAAATAACTGTATTGTGTTGAGTTCAAAATTGATATAGAAATAACATGAATTAAAAAACACCATTCAATAGCAACTAACACATTTCTTGTAATACTGTTAAAAATGTATGTAACAAGTGACAGGTTGGAAAGATGTTCCATTATTTTTATAGAGTTGTTCAAAAGCTACATACATGTATTATAATGAATAGGTTGAAATTGTCAAAGTGTTTAGAATATCAGTCATATGAATCAAATTTTCATTATTGTAGCAACACCCCCAACAAAACTAGCAGGAAGCAGAAGTCCCATCTTAACCATAGTCTAAGGAGTGAGAGTCCCGACTCAACAAGCCGCAATACTCCACACAAACCTGAATTGATCCCACAGAAATCAGCAGGGGGGATAACTGATAGTAAACAGCAAGGGTCCAGCTCAGAGGAAGGGGAAACAACCTCCAAAGTCAGTCCTGGTAATGACAAAGGTCCAAAACTACGACTCAAGTCTCGGAAACGGAACAGATACACAGAGGTTAGTTTACATCACAGTAATGGCATGTAGAGTACTGTAGGCTTGGTTAAATCAATTAAGCATAATAATGATCTTAATGATCAAAATATGATGTAATGTAATGAAATATGGCTTTAGAAAAGAAAATGTGCAATATCCAGAATTAATACAACAATTTTATGAACCCATTTTATTTGAGACAAATTTTTGTAGGATCCTTCTCCGGAAAACAAACGTTTAAAACAGCAATCCGGTGAGAAATCAGTACACACGCCGATCCATATCCTGGTGCCTGAGACCTGTGATCCTGATATCCTCCCTGGGTATCAGGAGGGGGATCCAGAGAATGCTGAGGGGAGTGAGGGGTTTTGTCACAAGGAAGAGAGGATTCCAGACACAGAGGCTGTGGGGAAAGGAACGTCAATGTCAGACAGCGAGTCTGATACAGCCCATGAGGTGACGGGAAATCGTTACAGTCTCCGGAGCTCACTGTTCAGTCCGTCCTCCACGGATTCAGACACTGTCAGATCACCAAAGAAAAAGGACAAGGAAAGGAGCTCAAAAGACAGCTTGTCTAGCAGTGCTAAACATGATAGTGCAAACAAATCTTCACTACCCACAGACAAGAAGGTAAAACCATCAGAAGAAGTTATATCATTAGGAGAGAAAGGGGATGGGTATATTCAGTCCTCTCCAATATTCCAGATGTACAGATCTTCCAACTTGGAGTCCCCTGATGTGAACAGGAAGGAAGCCTTTGTAGAGGAGGATGCAGAGTCGCCATTATTGCTGAAGGTCGCGCGGAGTACAGAGAACCAGTCAAGTCCAGCACAGACAAGACTCTTCGATGAGGACTGTATCACATCTCCTACTGCTAACAGTTCATTTAAAAGTTTTAAAAATCTGTCTCAAGGTAGACGAAAAGGGAAACTGAACCAAAGCAAATTGATAAGTTCTCAGGAAAGGAAAAAGAAAATGGATGCTGATGAGGATTGGCTGAATGCTACAAAACCAGCAGCAAAGGATTCCCCTACCCTGAGACAGAGCACGCTGAGTCAGGTCTTTATGAACATGCCTTCAAAGCCACAGCCAGAAAAGACTGAAATGGATGATATCCAAAAAGCCATAGAACTGTCACTGAAAGATGTTTCACATAATCAGGGAAGTAAGAGTTCTGAAACTTCTGATGTGAAAATAATTGAGAAAGAAAATCTGTCGCCCTTTAAAAGACCTTTAACTCCAAGGAAATGTAAAAACAATACACTAAGACAGAATGGTCTAAAAGTCAAAAGGCGAAATAAAAGGAGTCCATCCATTGACTGTGATCCTGATGAAACAGTTGCACCAGGATCACTCAGTACTGGACCTTCAGAGGCGTCTCAAGGTCAGGTGTCCTTGCTACCCCCTCTTAATGGCAGTGTTGATCCTGGGGTACAGCTGTCCTTGTTATGTGATGACTCCCAGAGTTTGAAATCTGATGACCTACCAGACATAGATGTGAATCCTGCAGGGGACAGTAGCCATATTGGAAACCTGACGGACTTTAGAATTGAAGACTTGAGGAAGTCCACCAATCCACTGACCTCCACCTGCATTGATGTGGATGATCCACAAGGAGGTGGAGAGGAGGAGTCCCAGTCCATTCCCTGTAGTATGAAGTTTGGGGGTGGCAGGAAAAGATATATCAGGATTCCCGAAAACTTCTCAGAAGGTAACTTTAAAATAAAACAAAAAAGATTTGTCATTTTAATATATACAGTGCACTGTACATTTTGAGTACATGCATTTTTTTTTTTACCAAATGTAAAGTATGTTTTAATGGAAATGCATTAATTATGGACTTTCAATGCATGTTTAACTCATCAATGAATCAGAAATCCAAAGTACTGTACTTCTGTTTCAGAACAAGGGAGCAATTTTCAAAATTTAGAAGAGGATGGCTTTATTCCAGATCATGAAGACAGTTTTGATAGGTAAAAATTACATATTGATTAATGTATGAATCTTTGAGGAATAACATACTTAAAAACTTTTTGTCTGGTTACAAGTATTAACTTTTGAAACTTTTAGGGGCCTACACATTTAGTCAAGTGTTGTCTGGTTACAAGTATTAACTTTTGAAACTTTTAGGGGCCTACACATTTAGTCAAGTGTATTAGGGCCCTAGACAGTAAAACACAGTTATAGCGAACATGCTTATAACAAATTGTCACTTACAATGAAGTGATCTGTATTCTCAAAATTTCTTCAAAATTTATTATAAACTTAACAGATATAATGAATTACACTTATAACGAAGCAAAATTGTCTTTCCCTGGCACTTCATTATAAGCATGTTTTACTCTACATCTTCAATACCCAAGAGATTCTGATGCAGCATTATTTTTTCATAAACCCTGTCTCTAACAATAAGCTGATTGTAGATAGCTTTACTTTTAACAGAGTGCCCAGTAAGGAGCAGCCAAACTTTGCCCATGTGGATGTTGTCAGAAAGCAGGACGAGAGAAGAAAACTACCAGCTCACAAATGTGACGAGTGCAGAGAGGTCAGTTACTCCAGTCTGTTACTGCAAAGCAAGTCGTATTCTAATATTAATACATTGTATTTACAAAATTTTCTTATGTAATTGATAATAGATTAAAACTCTATTACTGTATGAGTTTGGGTTGGCTGTTTATTGTTGAAGATGTATGAAGGGTGGGTGTCTGTAGCTCTTTTATTTTCACATTAATTTTTTAGAGAAAAATAAGGATTTTCCTTCAAAAAATTTTTATACCATATGTACTCCATATTGTTCTTGTAAAAACATGAAGGGCTGGTTCTTAACTCCATATTATTTTAATGTATTTTGTAGTACTATGAGGGACTGGGTCTTTCTGAGGAGGAGATACAGAAGAGAATGCAGACCTGTTCCAGACACCGAGCTAAACATGCCGCCCCCGGTACACCAGAACACTTCTGGGACATCGGCATGGAGGACACACTGGAATGTGAGGAGAAAGGTAATAACTGTAAAATAAACTCGTGTATCAGTATATCAGCTATGTAATGGGGATGGTGGACAGGGAAGTGAAAGATTCCTGTGGAATGTCTCGTGAGGCTGATGCCGTTATCCAACAGTTCCATTTACAAAGATGTGTACAAATGTACATGTAAATGTACTCTAAAGATACCAAAGTTCTTGCATCGGAAATATGCCATAATGACAAACATGATAAATTTCAATTAGGAATCATATACATGAAAAGATTTTATGTATTTTTATTAAATTAAACAGAAAAACAAAACACCGCAATTATCACAAAGAAAAGGCATATTACAGGAAGTCGCAAAATACAGGTGGTTGCTATAACAGATTTGACAGTACTTGATTTTCAGTTTCAGAGTTTATCTCAATCATTTATAACTTTGATTGAGCTTTGCAACCTTTATTATTTTAAAAAAAAAATAATTTATATTATACAAGTGATATTTGATCTATATCTTTTGTATTACTAAGACTTTCAATTAGTAAAAGTGTTTTTTCTTATGATAATTTTTTTCATTTTACAAGGTTATGTTCAAACAAAAGACCCGGATAAAGAAAAGCCACGATTCAGGAGAAAAAGACAACTGAACAAAATGTTCTAGAGGAAGTTAATACAGAAATGAGGGGAAGAGTTAAAACAGGGATAAAAGCAGCTGATTGGAGCAAAACTCAGGGTTGAATTAGCTAGTATTTAACAGTATGAAATGTATATATCACATATTTATATTATTTAGTTTTGTTTATAACAATCCCTCAGGATTTAATTAATTAAAATATAACTCTCAGGGAGATCTTAATATTTTCACATCCATTTGACTATGTTATGTTAAACATATCATATATAAATGTTTGCTTTAAAAATCAATAATCAACTGTTAAATATATATTTATTGAATTGTAGATTATAATCGGTACCACAAACATACATACCGCACTCAAATGTTTTTTTTTTATTATATTACATTTATAATATAAATATATATTTATACATGATTGTATATATTATTATTATTAAACATGGTCCCCTTATTATTTTACATACGATAGTCCCCTTTCAGTGAAACTGAGGGACTTGGTTTAACCAGTGTTCAAAATAAATAGGGAAGTGCATATTTATTTGAAATATGGTCCTTGATTAGAATTATTGATGAAATTATAATTTCCAGAAATGTATTTGTTACATAATGTATTTTTGTTTTGTTTTGGAACTTTGAAGCTTATAAATAATGTTCTGAGTCGTGTTGATTTTTGTTCCCCATTTTTGCTGGCTGGGTCATCCATCATTTTCTCTGTAACAATTTTGATTCAAATGATATCTCTAAAAGTCTTTAACATTTTGTGATGAAATTGTCCCATATCTCCTTATGTTTTTAAAAGTTTGAGGTCAAAAGTACAGGTAAAAAATATGATTATATACTTACAAAAAGTCAAGGTCACAAATTCACGCATAGTATGGGAATGCTCTCAGTGAGGAAAACATAAGCTCAATTACTACTAAGATGAAAGGGTCAAAGGTCAAGGTTACAAACTGTAACAAGTTGTTTCTGACATGTCTCCAACTTTTGCTTGTGACAAAGATTCCTTGAAACTAGATTATTCTGTATTTATTTTCATTTAAAGCATTGGTGTAAATTTAGGTATTTAAAAGAAAATTAATCTCATGTGTAGAATATTCCAAATTGAGTTATCATTTGTTTGTGGATTCGAGAATTTTTGTCTTGCTCACAGTGTACCTGTATAAATTGTGAGAATTTGATTTGGATTACATGTACTGGTCTCTTGATGTAAGGTCAGTATAGGATGTACATTGTATGTAAAATGATATATGTTCATTTATGTCACAGAAAGTTGAAATTTCACAGACAAAACATGTTTTTTTATGTATAAAATACATAACATTGTTACAGTATTAGCAAAGAAATGTATGCAAAGATTGCATTTGTGTGTCTAAAATATCAAATAAAATAAATAAATCGCTAGATTATGGGAAAATGTTGCGTACATGTGTCTAAAATATTAGATAAAATAAACTGCTAAATTATTTGAATTTGTTTTTCTTTTCCATTTTGTGATGACATCACACACTATAAAGAAGCAAATGTAACCAATTCTATACTCCTATGTCAGACAGGTGGATCCAGCACCTGTTTTTACTGGGGTGAGGATTTCGCCTCCCACATATTAACTAAACTAAAAATAAGGAACATTTCAGAAGGAACAGAAAGATAAAAATTGTTATGATGCATATAACACATGACCTGGTCAAAAGTTGTACAGATTAAAAATGTGGGGTTTTTTTTTTTTAACAATTATTGCTTACATTTGGTCCAAATTTCATTTTGGAATTGAGATATCCCCAAATCAATTTTAAACAGAATATTTAATTAAGAATGCTAATATTCTATTAAATTTATCCAAAAGATTTTGCCATTAAAAAACAATAATCTTGCCAATATCACAGATTTTTTTTTTTCCATTTTAATTTCATGTGTTGATTCTGTGCAAATGTTGGTATACCACCATGTAACTTAATAAAGAATTCACACATTTATCAGCTGATATAAAAAATTGAAATTTGTGTGTCTTTCAACATTTTGAAAAAGGTCTTTTATATATGTCATGTTAATCTAAATTAATGTGCAATGATTCGTTTTTCATCTCTATACGTCGGGTACGGACAACCAGAAAATTCGTTTCGTGAAATGTATTGTTCTGCAAAATGGATGCTGGACCGTCTGCTGCAGATGCATGACAACAATCGTGATTTATGATGCAGCAGACATCACAGGTAAAGAGATTCAAAGAAAGTAATTCAATGCAGAAACTTCTTGTGCATTTGGTGTATAGAACTGTCTGTCTAGTCGGTGTTGTAGTCTGTAAATGGAATACATTGGTACCAGGGATGCATCGCGCCGAGACTCCACAACCAGAATTTCCTCGCGTTTAAAGTTCATTTTTCTTGAAAAGTGTACTTGTAAGTGCTTATATTTGATTTAATAGAAGATTAGCAGATTCAATTATGAAGCCATTCCTAAATTCAAATAGGTTTTGGGTGTTGACGATAAAAGGGGGGGGGGCAGAATGATTTGAATCAGGAAGAAAGCCAGCTAAGACCGGATTTAATCGGTGTAAATTGTTATTAATTGATACTGAACTTGTTTTCAAAATAATTTTATTTTTATAGCAATGAATCATTACTTTTTGAAAGATATATAACGTTAGTCTTATAACTGCAACGGTGTGTGCAAACAAATAGAATAACGCGCTTATGCATGTTATTCAATTGTAGCTTTCAAAAAATAATGATTCATTGCTTGGGCACAAAGTTCCAGTTAATGGAAGAGCTAATGCAACAGCTTCTCTTCAAAGTGAGCGTGAAATTTCATTTTTCATTAGCTCCTCAATGAAGTTGGGGGAGCTTATGTAATACCCTCGGCGTCGGAGTCGGCATCGGCGTCCTGGGTTAAGGGTAAGTTTTTTGGAGCAGTTTTCTTTTTAAGTACTTCTACGTCCTATATTGATTAGACATGCATGAAAGATGTTTCTAGTGAGTCAAAGTTTCAGATGCTGCAATTTCAGCAAAGGAATGACCAGGTTAATGTTTTTGGAGCAGGTTAACATTTTTGGTGCAGGTTTCATTTTAAAGATACTATGAGCCCTATAATGACCAAATTTGCATGGATAGTACATCTTAGGATGCATACTACCAGACTATGCTGAATCTGACCTACATTTTCCGCTTGAGTGAACAGGTTAAAGTTTTTGGTGCAGGTTTCATTTTAAAGATACTATGAGCCCTATAATGACCAAACTTGCATGGATGATAAATCTTAGGATGCATACTACCAGACTTGCTTCGGATGCTGAATCTGACCTACATTTTCTGGATGAGTGAACAGGTTAAAGTTTTTGGTGCAGGTTTCATTTCCAAGGTACTATGAGCTCTATAATGACCAAACTTGCATGGATGATACATCTTAGGATGCATACTACCAGACTTGCTTCGGATGCTGAATCTGATCTACATTTTCAAGTTGAGTGAACAGGTTAAAAGTTTTGGTGCAGGATTCATTTCCAAGTAACTGAGCCCTATAATGACCAAACTTGCATGGATGGTACATCTAAGGGTGAATTCTACTAGGCTGGCTTTGGATGCTGAATCTGACCTACATTTTCCAGTTGAGTGAACAGGTTAAAGTTTTTGTGCAGGATTAATTTCCAAGTAACTTTGAGCCCTATAATGACCAAACTTGCATGGATGGTACGTCTAAGGGTGCATTCTACTAGGCTGGCTTTGGATGCTGAATCTGATTAGTGAAAAGGTTAGTTTTTAATACAGGTTTCATTTCCAAGTAACTTTGAGCTCTATGTTGAGCAAACTTGCATGGATGATACATCTTAGGATGCACACTAGTGGATTTGCTTCAGATGCTGAATTCAGCATATATTTTCCAGAAAATGGACCTCGTAAAAATAATGGGTGCAGGTCTATTACCAAGAAACTATAAGGCTTATATAAACCAAACGTTCACAAATGATGCAACATTCGTTGAGGTGAGCTCTGTAATCTCTGATTTAGACTGATTACCTATGTTTTTGCTTATGACATTGCACTTCCATGGCGTTCAACGTTTGTGAAGTCAAAATAAAACATATTCTTGTCTCTGTGTCTGTGTTGTGGTATTTTGAATGCCATAAATTTCCACACACTTTATCATGTTTATATGCAAAATACTTGTGTAATGTAAATATATATGTTCGTCAATGCTTTCTTACCTAAATGTCTTAGTGCAGAAAGGTCAATATATATGACACAATAGTATGAAAATTAATGAAAACTAGGCTTACATCATTCTCTTTTATTTTATCGTAAAGGTCTATTTTTAGCTCTTCTGAGCCAAAGGCTCAAAGAGCTAATGCTATGGCCAATTGTGCGGTGTGCGTCGTGCGGTGTGTGTTAACTTTTTAGAATATTGGCCATAACTCAAGAAACCCTTGGCCAATTATTGTAAAATTTGTCACAGGGTATCCTTGGCCCAAGGGCTACTATTTATACTAAAACTAGGGGTGGGACCCTAAAACAAGGGGAGATAATCACGAAAATAAAACCAAAAGTACTGGTTGCTAAAAAATCTTCTTCTCCAGAACCACCAGGCAGATTTTCACCAAACTTACATACAAGGGTTGGGATATGTTGAAGATTATAAATTGTTCAAGGCATGACCCTGGGGCAAAGGGCGTGGTCTCAAGGTCACTTCAAAGTTGACCAAAATTTACACTTATTAAAAACGTTGATATTTTGCTTACTATAAAGACTAGGATCGTCAAATCTTGTAAGTTGATGCATCTCAGGACTTGATATCATGTTAATGCAAAATTAGGTCAAGGTGACCTACTTTTTAAATTTTACGGGCTTTTGTTTTCAAAATGATTTGGAGGCATGTTTTGGACACTTTAAGGCCTATGATCATAAAACTTTGTCAGTTGGTGCATCTTGGGTCCACAAACAACATCAACTTAAAAATAGGTCATCGTGACCTACTTTTTGAATTTTATGGCTAATCTTTTCTAAAACATTTAATCCCATTATTTCAGACACCGAGAGGTTTAGAAGCACCAAATCTTGTAAGTTGATGCATCTTGGGACCTTAAAACATATTTATCAAAAAGAAGGTCACTGTGACCTACTTTTTGAACTTTGCAGGCATTTGTTTTCAAATTGTTTAAAAGGCATATTTTGAATACTATTAGACTTATGATCATCAAATTTTGTCAGTTGATGCATCTTTGGTTTTCAGAAAATGTCGACCAAGAAGTAGGTCACTGTGACCTACTTTCGAAATTTTATGGCTAGATTTATGTATCTCGGGTACTAATTGGCTTAGAATCATCAAAATTTGTCAGTAGATGCATCTTGGGTTTTCAGAGATTAACGACCAAATAGTAGGTCATGGTGACCTACTTTTGACATTTTATGTCTATGTTTAAGTATCTCAGGTACTTGTTGGCTTAGAATCATCAAACTTTGTCAGTAGATGCATCTTGGGTTTCGGAGAATGTCGACCAAAAAGTAGGTCACAGTGACCTACTTTTGACATTTTATGGCTAGTTTTATGTATCTCAGGTACTATTTGGTTTAGAATCATCAAATTTTGTCATTTGATGCATCTTAGGTCTTCGGAGCATAATGACCAAAAAGAAGGTCACGGTGACCTACTTTTGAATACTGTATACAGGGTTATTTTCGCCCCGTCTTATTTTCGCCCTTTCATACTTGCAAACAATTTTGCCCCTTTTTACATTCCCCCTTTCATACTTTTGTTTAAGAAATTATACTGTATTCTTTGAATTCGCCCCGTTTTAAATTCGTCCAAATGAGAGTAGGGCGAAAGGGGCGAAAATAAAACAGGGGCGAAAATTTCCCTGTATACAGTATCTCAGGTACTGATTGGCTTAGAATCATCAAACTTTGTCAGTAGATGCATCTTGGGTTTTCGGAGAATGTCGACCAAAAAGTAGGTCACGGTGACCTACTTTTGACATTTTATGGCTATATTTAGATACTGTAAATGTATTATATTTAGCGTGTACGATATTTGGCAAAAATTGATTTTTGAACAAGTTAGCGTAGATTTGATTCAGCGCATTTCTAAATGTTGTTATTAATGAATACATGCGCAAGACATTTAGTGTTGTACTTGAATTAGCGGATGTGTCTTTCCGCCAAAAGCGCTAAAAAGAATTCACAGCCAAATGTAATACGTTTACAGTATTTCAGGTACTTATTGGTTTAGAATTATCAAACTTTGTTATCACGTCGAGTTACCTTGCCTGTCAACGAGACGTGATACGGCTCTTGGGATCAATTTGATGCATCCTGGCTAAGAATCATCAAACTTTGTCAGTTGTTGCATCTTAGGTCTTAGGATAGATTGTATAATTTATCAGAAGAGCGATTCAAGGCCCTTGGGCCTCTTGTTTCATTATCAAAATAAAAAGATAATTGATTCCTTTTAAGAAAATATGAATTACAATAATTTCACCTAAAGAATTTTATCAGATATTACTTATAATGCATGACAGAATTGCAGAAAATACAGCAAGAAAAATGGGGTTAGACTTACATTGTGCTCCATTATATTTTTTTATGCAAATAAAATAGGGCCTATAATAAGTTTGCGTTCATTTAAAAGATACAAATCTAATAGTTTAATAAATACATTTTGATTTTGAATGTGTTTTGACATTTGGTTCTTTTTAGTGCAGTTTTTGTAGAATTGACACTTTATACAAACAATCTATTTTTAGCATTTCACACTGCTTTTTCAGTGCTGCGTGAAAATTAGCATATAAAGGTATTATTTTAATAATATTGCCTAAAATTTATAGGTAAGTTGCAAGGAAAGAAATTTAACAGTTGAGTCTTGCTCAGATAAATTTATTAGAGAAAATTCTTAGAGGAAGCTTGTGAACTCAAAACCTGTGGTTTGCAACAATGAAGTCTGATGGTCACGCCAAAGTCCAATGGTCTGCACCAAACCCCGATGGTTTGACACGCACACGTCTGATGATGCAGAAAACAATAAACGTTAATGACGTCATAGTACTATTGTGCAGAAATGTAATGCTGCGCAATGCCAAGGCCCAATGGTTTTAAATTACTAAATTGCAAAGACTTATTCTCATCTCTTGGATAGGTGCAAGAGTAACCCTAATCTATTAAATATCTTGAGTGAGTGCTGGAATAACCCAAATCAGTCGCATCGTATCTCAATGGAATCAAGCTATCACATTTTGGCGTGACCATCGGACTTTAGCGTCCGTAAAAACAATGAGCCATATGGGTTTGGCGCAGACCATTGGTCTTTGGTGATACCATCAACCTTTGGCGTGACATTGCACTTTGGAGTCTTACATGTACATATTTAAATTAGATTCAAAATTCTATTAATTTACTTTACATTTAACAATCCAGGAGACAAGTCCCTTTTGGGCCCATAGAGATGGTCACCATCCTGACTATTAATGATTGTCTAGTTTCTAGATGATTGAGCAGCTAGGTTAAAGGTTTTGTAGCATGTCTCTTCATAAAATTTAATATTGTAAGTCCTTCATAGGCCAAACTTAAATGAATGATGCTTATGTTGGACACAACAGCACCAGTTTTGCTGCAGATGTTGCAACTGATCTACATATTTACACATGCATGTTTTTGTAACGAGGGATTTCATATTAAAGTTTTTGAAACAGGTTCATTTCCAAGGAGCTATTTTATACCTTGACCAAACTTGCATTTGTTGTATCAACTAGAGATGCATACTTATTACGGCCTCATTTAAGATGCTGCCAATGGCATTGCGTATTTATAATTTAGATGTTTAATAAAAGCACTACAATTCAGTATGAAGAAGAAAGTTAGCTAATGAAGGAAGTTGTTAATGTCGTCTTGTAGCACTCAAAACTCAAATAGTCTATATCTTCTTAATATCAAATTGGTTTTCAATGAAAGAAATGTTCTCAATATTGGGGTTATGGAACATTTTTTAAAGAAGGATGTTTAATTGCATCATATGCCTGGCTACATTTAATTCACAGAACATGTATTATCCTTGTTGGATTAGTAAGTTTCAATAAATGTGTTTATAAGAGTTAAGATATTTAATTTATACCATGAAAAATTGCAGCATTAAGCATTGAAGATTTTGTATCAATAGATTTGTTAGAATGGCAGACAGAAATCCCACAGTGAATTGATGGGAGAACTGTTATGATGTTCTCCACCGTTTGTCACCATACCAGACAAACTATTGAATTTGTTTGTCACCTATGTTTTGTTCAGCTGAATATAGGACCTAACCATGAACTCCCACAATCTATTGGGACATTGATTGCTGTATGTATAACAGTCTGTTATAAAGTAGCCAAATTGCAAAGGAGGACTTTAACTTGGGATCAACTTTTAATTTGTTCTGGACATGTTTATCTTAAAGTTGATAAGTGAAAAATCAAAGAATTGTATGGATGCACCCTGTGAAATATTTAAAAGCCATTTTGGAGTTAACGACTGAGATATGATAATCAAGATAATTGACTGTCACCTGGTGAATCGTGTGTTCACCGAATTTTTTTAAATCGGCAACTTTCATGTACTTTGTGTTTAATTTGATGCCAAATATTACTCTGCTGCTGTGGTACTAGCAATTGTATAAATCAAGAGAGTTTTTCATCCAAGAATTTAGCATTCAATATTTGATAGAAGACATTAGTGTATATATTGATATCTTTGCATGGATAATTCTTTTTTAAAAAAGGTAAGTTCTGAGTAATTTTCAAACTTGCATGATCATATTACTTGACTCTCATGTTTTTATGAAGGTGCTTTATTATCAATTTTACAGTATACATTGTATGTTGGAAATTAAAATTGCCATCTTCTGTGGTACTTTGGAGCTTTTGGTGTAATTTTCATGCTGTATACTTGTTGGAAATTAATATATGGTTTAATTGATATGCTCTTTACAAGAATTTTTTTCTTATTTCTTTCCCAAAGCAGGACAAACCCAGGGTTAATTTATTAGCTTCAGCCTTGAGTACATAATCCACTAAGTAAATACACATCATACAGATACAATGAAAGTGACCATGCCATTGTAGATACTTCAATTTTTGTCAGTAACTCAGGATAAAATTGAATATTATATTCATTTGGCTATCTTAAGAGTTGACTATTACTGATTTTCTGCTACTTGATTATAACACCAAGAGCTACAGTCTATATTGAGAGAAACAATTCCTTATATTCTTTAGAGGTAATTTGGAGTATGTGATAAAACTAACGATATCTTGTTTATTCGTAATAAAATTTATGTATTTGGTCAAAAGGATTTGGAAAAATTACCATGTAAATCGCAGAGTTGGCCATTCACATCCGATTCTGTAATTAGATTAACACAGTACTTGGTATATTACGATCAATAAGGTAATTGTGAAGATTGTTTGCTAATTTGTTGTTTACTTTAGCTTGCTATGTCATTTTTCTCGGAAAAACTGAAGAAAGCTTTAGTTAAAGAGTGTAGATGGCACAGAATCAAGTGCTACTCTTCTTACATTAAAATGAAAGAAAAATCTCCTTTGTGAAATAATGTGAACACCAAAGGAAATATTTATTGAAACTTGATCTTCTTGTTCACTTTTCTTTTTTTTCTTTTTTAATATACAAGACTATGTTATTCAGAAAATTATCCCTAGGTAAAGTAGAAATATTTAAAAATACTTAAATCAAGCATTACTTTATGTACATAGGAATACACTGTACTTGACTGTGGTTTGGAAATTTTCCCTTGGATGTGCTTTGTGCATTAAATCTGTCATACAAGTTAATAAACCCATGGGTCTTAATCAAGTTGTAGAAATAATAACTTCATAAGATTTTTAGTGGTTTGAAAAATTTTAATTGGATATACGTTAACATGTTAAGGTAGCTCATTGAACAGGTAACCTCATTTGAGATTTAAAGTTTAAATGATTGATATTTGGAGATTTTAATAATGTGTACCCTCTCAGTATCATATATTTTTGTTATTATATAAAAAGCGGTTTTTATAGTTGGACAATCCAAGGTTATTAATGATAGAGACATCGAAACACGCAGTGCACTATTAGGTAAACAAAGGTTTACACACAAAGCAGCCCTGTTCTGTCCAAGATTGTGATCTTTGGTTGAAGAAACTTGATATTCCCTGATTGTTTAATAAGGAATTACCTTGATCAGATTCCCAAACTTTTTTTTTCCAGATCATTGATATTGTGTTGCAACGGTCCTAGGAATAGATGTGTCCTAAGCAGAAGCTGGTTATACCTTTTGCTCTGAGAGAAGTCTATCGACGGAGAAATACTTATGTCTAAACCAGGGAAAAAGAAACGGTAAGAAAGAGATTGTTTTTATTGCAGTTCATTTTATTTTGGAGGGTATGTAATGGAAATTAGAATACTGCTTGTCTTTATGTAACCTTCGTTGCATTGGGAAAAAATTGAATGGAGATTGTATGTTTCAGATTGAACTTGAAAAACCAATAAAACCATAAATTTGTTGAGTTTTAGAATTTTTATCTTTATTAGGTGACTCGTCTTTAGAAATATTTGATTTCTGTCAAAAGTTTAGAGAGCTTGTTGGCAGTTCTATCATTGGGGGATGATAAATATTGATCATAAGGGGGTGAGGAACTGTTGATTTATATGACTCCAGCCCAGTCGGTTTATTTAAATTGATGATAATGTCAACATAATATCATTATGTGGGGGGCTTAGTAGTTCCAAAATTAGATAATCTTTAACCTTTTGTTGAATTCTGCCAGGAGAATCAGCAATGATTGTTATCAATTTATCATTGAAAATTAAAGTCAACCTGATTACCACTGAAGTTCTGGTCAGATTTAGTGAAGGTGCTCAATAGTTGACACAGTTTTATCTTGTTTTATGTTGAATTTTTCTTTTTACCCGTTTTAATGTTGAAGATGAATCAAATACAGGTATTTGATAAAAACACTATATGCCAGCATGAAACGAACATAAATTAAAAATAAAAAACAAATTACACTGTTGCAGTACTCAAGAATTCAGCTACAAAGTAATTTAAATGAAACTTAAATGCAAGCGATCAAGATTTTAAATTGTCCCTGCAGATAATAGCTTTTTAAAAACCTGATTTTTAACTTTCAATGCTTCAAATAACTGACCATGACTTGAACATGTTATAACAGATGTGAGGAGCTGGACAATTGTTTGATAAGAAAATGATAATAAACATATTCCTTGTCAACTTTACCTACTGAAAATTTCATATAGCTATTGTTTAGAAGAGGTTTATTATTTATTTCAAATGTTAACTAATATGATATCATACATGTAATTCTTAATTAAGGTTTAAGTGTTCATAAATGTTACAGTTTAAAATTAACAAGATTTTTCTATGTGTTACTTTTTCCATTTTGTAAATATAAGGAATAACTGTAAGATTTTTTGGTTTCATGATCAATAGATTGGCTTGTTTGATAATTTTATGCAAATTATCGTGCAAGCCACTCGATTGATCACATCATGAAACCAAAAACTTAGAGTTTTTCCTTAAGTAAAGTCTGTCCAGCTGCATGTGGTCAGCCTAAAAATTTGTGGGTTTATAAACTATAAATATTTTATGCACATGATTCCTGCAATTCACTCGCAAAATACCCTCGTCTTTTTCTCTTTTTAAAGAAATAAAATTAGGTCAAGGTAAAAAATGTTTATGAAATTGAATAGCACCGATCAAGTCAAGGTCAAAGGAAAGGTCAAGCCAATTTATTTTTGTTAAAGTTGAATGCATCTCATCAATATAATTTTATCAACATAGTTCTAACGTTTAATTGATAAAAATATCTTAAAAATAAATTATATGATTTTTTTTTTATATTAAGCAAAACTTTAATTTAAGAAAAGGGAGTTAAAGATCAAAGGAAAGGTCAATACTATTTTTTTTTTGCCCTGGCATGAATATGGCAGGGGCATAGGTTTGTCATGTTCATCTTCCACCCCTCTGTCTTTCTATTCTTTCCTCACTTGCATTTATCTCAGTTTCAAAGAAATTATTCAAGTTTTTTTGTCAAACTTCATATGCTGGTACATATTGGTAAGAGCCATAAAATGCATTAAATTATTTTTTATATTAATAAAGTCCAAAGAAACTGTTCGATTAATTTTATCAAACCTTATATCCTAGTGACATGTATTGGTGAGAGCTGTTCACTTTATATGCACTTTTTGACATTGACCTTTCTTTTGACCTTGACTTAACCCTTGACCTTGACCTCACTTATCTTAGAATGATATTGAAATAGGGACTAAAATTCTTGTTTGGTCATTGTACTGGAGAAATGTTAAAAGTTTCTTATGAAAAGAAAGGTAGACGAGGATCAAACTGTTTGTCAAGGTCACAATAATTGTTAAAACATGCTGATTTTCTCAATCTCATTTTTGCTTCTTGTTTCTTTTGCATCCTTGCATCAAAGGAAAACAAAACACCCGTAAACACTAATAAAAAACAGTCTTGAGTGATCAACAAAAATGTTGGAATCAATATCTAATAAGTCATTTCAACTTGAAGGCTGTTTTGTAGGACGAAATTTTGAGAAGAAAATAAATTCAATCCTTATTGATGCTGTGCCTTGTTAATTAGCATTTGTTTTCTTTCTGAGACCCCCATTATTCAAACATCAGCACTTAGAAAACCAGTGCTTCCAATGTAATTGCTGCAATCACCAAGGGCTAAATTGTTCCCCAATATCCATATCAGGGAATGGTAAATTGAGAACAGGGCCATTAACACAGATCTTTTGATGGTTGTACTGGATTATGTCAAACTGTTTTGTTATTTTTTAAAAAGAAAACTCAGAAGTGAGGTATTAAGATAATAGAAGTAAGTTGTTAGCAGTCTCCACTGATATCCTGTCAGAGGCTTTTCCTGGAAACCAATGGCTGAAACCATAACATCGTCTTATTTTGAGACCATATTCTTTGGCCTGTATCTCCCCTTTTTGTCATTATGTAGGAAGTGGGTTAAATTAAGATACAGGTCTAAGAGTACAGAGCAAGGAAAGAAGCCAGTTAATTACATTGGCACAATTACTGGCAACAGTTTGATTTCATTTTCTTCATATCATTTCATTAACTACATTATTTTTGGCCTATTTAAGGGAAGAATTGGCATTTTTGTTTAATAAGATTCTGAAACTGACCTACATTTTGAGATGAGTCAAAAGGCCAAACCTATGCATAAGCTTTGCTTAATAAGTTTTAAGTCAAAAAACAATTTTTTAAGATATGTCTGTCTCGGTTTCCTTGACTCCCCTGCCCTTAAAACAACTCTCTCTTCCCCTTTCATCAATGGAGACTGTGCGCAAGTGAAATAGTTTGATTTTTCTGATAGTACATGTATAAATAATTATTAAGAATTTAAAATAAAGGGTACTTCTATTTTTAGCTTAAGGTTGGGGGATTTAAATCTTCCTGTTACAATGAATATTTCCTACCTGAAAATGCTCCTCAAAAAGGAGCGTGATAAAGATCCCAGGTAAGACTGCATGTCTACAGCATGTCTAAGGCATGTATTTATAACGCATGTCAGCAGCATAATCTAAAACAAGTATAGTGCATTACAGCAGCATGTTTAAGGCATGTATAATGCATGTCAGTAACATGTCTAAGGCATGTGTAGTGCATGTCAACAGCATGCATAAGGCATGTGTAATGCATGTCAACAGCATGCATAAGGCATGTCAGGTGCATGTCTACTGTATATATAAAGAATGTCTAATGTGTATATTAAAGTTTGTATAACAGAAAAGATGGATTAAATGAGTGAATAGAAAAAAAATATAATGATTTGTACTTTGAGATTAGTTTGGGGGATTAATTCCATCATCACAAGAAATCCTGAATTTTTATTGAATAATAAATTCAGTAAAACTTTTACATAATAAATGTATTGCATAATATTTCTTAATTATTCTTTTGAAAAAGAACTAATTTCCCTTTTTTTTTTAAAAAAACATACTACTGTATACAGGGAAATTTTCGCCCCGTTTTATTTTCGCCCTACCCTCATTTGGGCGAATTTAAAACGGGGCGAATTTAAAGAATACAGTATAATTTCTTAAACAAAACTATGACTGGGCGAATTTAAAAAGGGGCAAAATTGTTTGCAAGAGTGAAAGGGCGAAAATAAGATGGGGCGAAAATAACCCTGTATACAGTATTTGACCTCTTTTAATTGTAGAAGTGTAAACCCCCCCCCTAAAAAAAGTAACTGATGAGAGAGCTGCAGTGTCATTGGAAAAAAATATTTAACCCAGTGGTTCATTGCATGTTTTTAACCCAGAGTGATGGGTGAGATAGTTCAATTGAATAATGCCATTTAAAGTTTGCTTAATAATTAATATCAGTCAGAAGAATCTGAAAATTACATGTAGCTACATTGAACTTTGGATTATATTCCACCAAAATTACCCAAGTTGTTGGGGATTAACTTTATAGAAGTGTGGACTGACCCTGCATGAGAGTGTTTTAATGAGTTCATTCTATTTTTATCCACATATGATGCTCAATTCTTCCATCCAAGTGTTTGTTCCTTTTCAATTTCCTATTACTATCCAGAAAACTCTCCATATTATTTACTGGAATTGCATGTGTCACCTGAACCATTTTGTAGATTTTCTTGGAATACATTTCTGAAGATTAAAAAAAAATGTGGTACATGTAAAAAAATATATGATGTAGCTCATATTAATGTTCATTGTAGTTTGTTTCCATTACAATTGATTTATTTTGAATCCTACACAATTATATTACTTTCAGTTTATAAACTGTAATGATATGCTGGTCAAGGCTCAGGTGAACATCTCTGATCAAAGGAAGTCCAACCTCCATCTGTCTTGTTGACTGTAAATGTTTCACATTTTTAGCTCACCTGAGCTGAAAGCTCAAGTGAGCTTTTCTGATCACCCATTGTCAGTCGTTTGTCTGTCCGTCTGTAAACTTTTCACATTTTAAGCTTAAAATCTTCTCAAGAACTACTGGGCCAATTTTAACCAAACTTGGTACAAAGCATCCTTGGGTAAGGGGAGTTTAAATTGTCAAAATGAAGGGCCAAGTCTGGGCCTTCCAAGTGGAGATAATCAAGAAAAGACAAAAATAGGGTGAGGTCATTGAAGAATCTTCTTCTCAAGAACCACTGGGCCAGAAAAGCTGAAACTTATGTGGGAGCATCCTGGGGTACGATAGGGAATCCAAATTTTACATTGAAATATATAGGCAAAATCTTTAAAATCTTCTTCTCAAAAACATTGGGCCAGAAAAGCTTAAACTTATGTTGAAGCATTCTGGGGTAGTGTAGATTCTAAATTGTTCAAATCATGACCCATGGGGATAGAGTGGGGTCACAATAGATATTGCAAGAGGGAAATCTGGTAAAGAACAGCATGGCCAAAGTTACTCAGGTGAGTGATGTGGTCCATTGGCCTCTTGTTTATTTTCTCAAGAACCATTGGACCAATTTTAACCAAACTTGCCACAAAGGATCTTTGATTTAAGAGGATTCAAGATTTGTATGACAGTGCCTAAACAGATGAAACTTGTGTGAAAGCTTCTTTGCATAATGTAGATTCAATTTTGTTCAAATCATAACCCCCATGGTATTGGAATATATATATATGAAATATCTTGAAAAGAATATATTCAAATATATTCTTTTCAAGAGCAGCATTTTTTTAAAAATTAATTGATACTCATATTATCTTGGAAACATCAAAGGCTTTGAAGCTCACAACCTGACTGTAAATTTATATGTGCAATATGCTAAATTTATAATAAATTAATAAAGTTATCCAAAAAAAAAGTTTTACTATTATTTTATTTCCTGCTGCCTAAGACATTCATCAGTAAGATGATATAAATGAACATATAATATATTTCAAAATAATCTTTCAAAACTTTGTAGATATAAAAGAATGAAAGAGAGATCTCGTCTTGAACAGAACTCCAAACACCAATTTGTACAAGCCCTGCAGCCATTACAGCTTCCATTTATAGTTCCAGTGCCAACTCAAGTAAGTACACAGGCTATAATTATGCTTGTGGCATAGTCCCTGGCAGTGCCAACTGAATTAAGTACAAGGCTTTATGCCTGTGCCAACTGATGCAAGTCCAAGGCTATATGCCTGTGCCAATTTATTGGCTATATGCTTAAATGCTTGTGACATATTGCCCATGCCAACTCAAGTAAGTACAAGGCTATATACTTGAGGCATAGTCTCAGGGCCAACTCACAGACAAGTAAGTATGAGGCTACATGCTTGCTGCATAGCCACTGTGCCAATTCAAGTTTGTGGCATAAGTCTAACAACTTTCCAACATTTATAATAGATGTGTGGTTCCATGATTTTATATGGTTGATTCCCCTTTACTTTGAAACTTGCAGGAGGGGAGACAACTGCTTAACAGCTGTATAACAAAAGTGATAATTACTGGTTAAAAAACTAGAATTATCTGAGGAAGTACATATATTCAGAGGTTTAAAAAAAATTATAGAGGTTGTAGGCTAACAAGTTCAGCTGCGGTCCCCTAAATATGAAACCCCAGGAGGCCACATAACTAGAGGAAATAAACTCTCCTGCATCTGTCCTATATTATTGAGTGAGTGACTACTTTCATTTTTTTTTTTTTTGAAGTAGGTTAATTTCCAGTAACTTCAAAGCCTTTCCTAGACCATATTCTTCATGCTGCAGTCAATTTTTTGGCAACATTTTCAAGTGTCTCACTATCAGATTTAGGTGACATTACCAGTATTTGATTTAAGGTGGAATGCCACACCATTTTTAGCTCACCTCAACGAAGTTGGGGGAGCTTATGTAATACCGTCGGTGTCGGCGTCCTCGTCAGCGTCGGCGTCCCGGGTTAAGGTTAAGTTTTTTGGAGCAGTTTTCTTCTTAAGTACTTCTATGTCCTATATTGATTAGACATGCATGGAAGATGTTTCTAGTGTGTTTCATTGTACCAGTCAAAGTTTCAGATGCTGCAATTTCAGCAAAGGAATAACCAGGTTAATGTTTTTGGAGCAGGTTAACATTTTTGGTGCAGTTTTTGGTGTAGGTCTCATTTCCGAGTAACTATAAGCCCTATGTTGACCAAACTTGCTTGGATGGTACATCTTAGGATGCACACTACCAGGCTTGCTTCAGATGCTGAATCTTACCTACATTTTCCGCATGAGTGAACAGGTTTATGTTTTTGGTGCAGGTCTCATTTCCAAGTAAATATGAGCACTATAGTGACGAAACTTGCATGGATGATAAATCTAAGGATGCATACTACCAGACTTGCTTCGGATGCTGAATCTGACCTACATTTTCTGGTTGAGTGAACAGGTTAAAGTTTTTGGTGTAGGTCTCATTTCCAAGTTACTATGAGCCCTATAATGACCAAACTTGCATGGATGGTACATCTTAGGATGCATACTACAAAACTTGCTTCGGATGCTGAATCTGACCTACATTTTCCGGTTGAGTGAACAGGTTAAAGTTTTTGGTGCAGATTTCATTTCCAAGTTACTATGAGCCCTATAATGACCAAACTTGCATGGATGGTACATCTTAGGATGCACACTAATGGACTTGCTTCAGATGCTGATTTCGACATACATTTTCCAGATAATGGACACCTCGTAAAAGTTATGGATGCAGGTCTATTACCAAGAAACTATGAGGCTTATATAAACCAAACTTGCACAAATGATGCATCAAGGGGATGAAAACTTTCAAACTTGCTTCAGATGCTGGATTTTAATTACGTTTTCATGATGGAGAACTAGTTTGAAGTTTTTATATAGGTCTATTCCAAAGTATCAAATCAAAATTGCATAAATTTTGCATTTTTGGATGTACACTTTTTGTTGGTTGATTGTGTGACTTTGCCTTACTTAAAGACAACATTCGTTGAGGTGAGCTCTGTAATCTCTGATTACCTATGTTTTTTTATTTTATAGATCTTTGAGTCATCCCTTTTAAACAATGGTTTCAGCATTGAAAGGCCGATATTAGCTCTTAATTATTTTATATAAATTTTTTTGTATTTTTTCAAAGAAAATGAAAAAAATTATTTATATGCAGATAAGTTGTTTTTGAGTTAAAAGTTTGCTGTAAATGAATGCATCATATGAATATCTGATAAAATATGTAAAGAAAGGCTGGCTAGACTTTTTAATATTTTTTTTTTTAAAATTATTTATGAAAATAAAACACACTATTTGTGAATATTTTTTAAACCTATGGTTAAAAACACCATAAAACTAGGCACAACTGAGGAGAACATGTTTGTCAATCATATTTTAAAAAGAAATTGAAACGAAATTGAGAAATTTTAGAGAAATTACCACGGAAATTTTTTTAATGTTTGGACCTAACCAGATCAAAATTAAACTGATCCCGATCAAAATTAACACAAAATGAATAAAATACTAATTTATTGCCTCTTCATGTATTTACAATGAAGAAATCTATTTTATTGTCAAGTTCAATAATGTTTTAACCCTTATTACACCTAATCAGACTAGTGTTCTTGGGGAAATGTTAATTATTTCCAATAATTGTACAATTATGGTTGGGATTGGTTTCATTTTGATCGGGATTGGCCAAAATTTAAAAAAAATAATTTCTTTAAAATTTGGCTATTTCGTTTCAATTTCTTTTATAGATATGATTAAGGAACATGCTCTCCCCAGTTGTGACTGGTTTTAAGAAGATTTTAACCACATTTTCAAGTTTAAAAAATATTCACAAATTATGTGTTTTATTTTCATAAATATTTTTTTATTTAAAAATTTTAAATAACTATATGGTTTTTCTTTTCTTTTTATTAGGTATTCATGTGATGCATTCATTTACAGCAAAATTTTTACAAGAAAGCAGGTTATTTTGATGTAAATAATTTTTTTCATTTTCTTTGAAAAAATACAAAAAAATTCATATAAAATAATTAAGATCTAATGTTTGCTTTTCAATGCTGAAACCATTGTTTAAAAAGGTTGACTCAGAGATCTATAAAATAAAAAGTTGGTGTGGCATTCCTCCTTAAGACTGATGTGCTAAAAGGTACTGGTTAAATTTATTGAATCAAGAATTTTGATCTTTTATTAACCTTGTGTTTTATTCCTGTTGTAAATTTTATGGCTCTTTATGTTTTTATTTCTTTAGGAAGTGTGAAGAGTTATAACTGCATGATAACATGAAATTCTCCGCAAAAAAATCCTATTCAGCAAACAAAAATTTCGGAAGAGATGCACTTTTACGGAATTATAACCTAAAAGTGTTTGTGTAGTATTAAGTTTATCAGAATGTTCATAGATAATGTGTTGATTTCAATTCTTGAGGAGTTATAGTTTTATTCAGAAGTACATCTGAACTGTTAAATATCACAAGTCTTGGAGTTTATGGCTTAATTGTGTGTGTTACGCTTTCGGTAACTGGGAGCATTTAATTTTTAATCAATTGATGTAAAATTGAGATACATAGACTTTGTCAAGAAATTAAAAATTGTAAGACTTAAAAAATAACAGCTATTAAAAACTCTTATGTTATAGAGTTATCCTTCTTTGAAAGTATTTTAAATAGCATTCTTCTGCAGTGTAAACCATTTATTAATAGGAGATTATATTTACTTTTTTTGCTCTCTTGAGTTGAAGGCTCAATTGAGCTTTTCCGATCAAAACTTGTTGTATGATGTCATTATTGTAATTTTAAAAATTTGTAAACTTTTCACACAATTTCATCTTCTTTTCCAGAACCAGTAGATCAGTTTTAACCAAGTTCTAGCTTACCTCAAAGTGTTATGGCTTGTGTATTTCTATGAAGAAGGGCCACACCTTCTTTCAATAATTTTTATTGAAGATAATTAAGAAGTTAGATTAAATTTCATAGCATCTTTCAAGTATCTTCTTCTCTAGAACCATTGGACAAAAAAGTTGAAACTTATGTGAATAAGTGAGTAAAGTCTCATTGCTTAGTGTACAGTGTAGATTCAAATTTATTCAAATCATAACTCCCAAAACTAAGGGGGGCAGTTTGAAAACAAAAATTTAGGTGAAATAATACCTCATGCATTGGGTAGGTTGAATTTTTACTAGCCTGTGAGCTTCCTCCTGCAGAAAACCACTAGCCTAGTCCTAAGATATGGTACATGTAACCCTTTGTTTCAGGCACTTATATACTAGTACCGAATCAGTTGTGTTTAAGAGATACAGCAAAACTCGTTTAGTATGAACACGGATATTGAAAATTTACGGATATAGCGAAGTCACATTTGATCCCCAGCTATATAAATTTAATTACTTTCTTATACGGTTATAATGAATTACGGATATAGCGAAGTAATTTCACAGGTCCCAGTGACTTCGTTATAACCGAGTTTTACTGTAGTACTGTTGTTGAATTTTTTCTTTTTTAAATTTGGCCTATTGAAATAAGGATGAAATGGATGAAAATAAAAAGGGAGGGACAGAATTTTCATGTTTACAGTAATTATTTAATATGCAAGCAACCCCATTTACATTCTCTAACCAGAGTTGTCTTCCGCTACGCTCACTACACCTCTGTCAACGCTCGTTGTACAAGATTCTTGTACAAATTTTAAATGGTGAAAATTTGAAGTTATAATAGTAATTAATTGTTGTAATTATTGATAAAGATGATAATTCATCATTTATTTCAAACATATATTCCCTCAAAACGACTTATTTTCAAAGCTTTAAGGGAACTATTTTGCGGAGTAAAAATTAAAATCTTAATTAAAAAATCCTTTTAAGGTGTAACAAATTTAAAAAAATATTGTTTTCCGATGAGAAATATAATTATAAACGACTATTAATACAATTTTTAATCATTTACAATTTTTCCAAGTATCTTGTAAAACAAGCGTTGACAGAGGTGTATGTGGGAGCGTAGCGGGAACGACAACTCTGGATAGAGAAGGCCCCATTTAGTGCAGGCACGTAGCATCGTTTTTGAAAGTGGGGGGGCCAACCAGAGAAAATTTTTTTTTACTTACCTGAAAAAGT